AAAACCACCATCAGCCTCGAATAAACCCTAGAAAATATTCTCCCTCGCCGTTTGAGGTGCGACAACCTCCGACGAGGGTTGGGGAAGGTGCGAAAAGGGTTGGGGGAGATGCGAAAAGGGTTGAGGGAGGTGCGAAAAGGGGCAGCGAAGTGCGATTCCGGTGCAAAAAGGGGCAGCGAACGATTCGATTCCGGTGCAGGGGAGAGTCGGTGAGGGTCGGCGAGGGGCGGCGAGGGTCGGGGGAGGGGCGGCGAGGGTCAGGTAGGACGGTGGTCGGGTTTTCCGGTGGTTGGGTAAGTATGAAGGTGGTGATGTGGTGGTGTGGTGGTGGTAGGGAATGGGAATGGAAATACCTAGGGGGGTGGGGAATGGGCTTAGAAGAATTTGGGGGAATGGATGGGGGAAAGGGAATGAAAAAAAAAGGGCTAACAAACAGCAACAAAGGGAATCAGGGTGGTTGATTCCCTTTCCCTTTGATAAATACCCCCAACCAAACGGCCCCTAAGTTTCTTGAACAGTTAACTAACAATTGAGTACAATTTGCAATATCTAGCATCCAGAAAAGTAGCTTTCAATTAAACAAAAATGAATGAAGATAAATAAAAACGGACGTTTTTCCAAAGTGAGCCAATTTTGGCAAATATTAACCAAAATGGTTGCGTGGCAAAAGTATTTACCAAACTAAGCTTCCAGGCTAAAACGCTGTCTCGGTCAGTGTTTTATGCCTGGGTTTTTTTTAAAAAAAAAATCAACCTAAAAACGCTGTCTGGGACAGCGTCTCTGTTGTTGACCTTTTTAAAAAAAAAAATTGTAATTGCCTTTTATTTATAAAAATGTTTTTAAAAAACAAAAACAGTTATACCAAAGACGTTGCCCCAGACAGCGCTTTATGTACAAACTTCCTTGTACCTAAAACGTTGTCTCACACAACGTCTTATTTTCAACCTAAAACGCTGTCTGGGACAGCGTTTCTCTGCTGGTGTGCAAAACAGCAGCAGAATCAGCCTTTTGCCACTGATCTGCCACTTTCTTCTGCCCCACCCACCACCCCCTGCCATGATTCTTGCCACCACAATCCACCAACAATCCCCACCATCGACCACCATCTGCCACCACTTTTGACCTCCAACAACACTTCAACCAGCTCCACCACCAACCCCAACCATTCAACAACCGTCGATAACCACCCACCACAACCAACAACACTAAAACCACCATGAACAACCACATTAACCACCACGGGCCATCCTTTCTTCCCCATTTTCGACTATTGATTCCAAATGTCTGTTGTTTAATGTACATTAGCCCTGAAGGATCTATTTTGACTGACATAAATCCGATTTGGATAAATAAGCAAACAAAACTTCAAAACACAAACAGATCATTCAACCAGCATGTCTTATATTGATAATGCAATCGTTATATACAGCATTCCAGGAAAAAGGACAAAACAATGATACAATACGTTCACTACTCATCAATTTGGTGTAACCCTTCCCTAGCCTCACTGTCGTCCCTTTGTCTTGGACGACGCCGAGTGTAATGGTGAATGGTGGTGAATGGGTTCCGGCGCGGGGGAGGAGTGAGCTGGCTGGACGATGCGTCCTCCTGGATTCTGAAGGGTGCAGAACTGTGGAAGATGTACTCCTCTGCCTCTGTGTGCGCCGTAGGATCACCTCCACTGCTACTCTGGCCGGGGTCGAACCGCGAATGGATGGAGTGACCATCATCACCGTCCCGCTGTTGGATGAGATGACCGTGACCATGTCTGCGTAAGGAAGTCGCGGACATATCTCGCATCCGCTGGACCTGGGCTCTGGTGGGTCCGTCTGTAAGGGCGAGGGACAGTGCATCATACATCGCCACCATATCCGCCGCCTGTAGTAATCATCGATCAGTCAAGTACATGATATTTAAAAAAGTTAAAAAATGAGGATGATAAGTATAGTAAAAGAAACTCACATATCCGATAATGACGTCATGTGCCGGGTGGTAATGGGTGGACGGTGGTGTGTAGCTGGGGTTGATGAAACGGCGTGTGATAAGCCTGTACCACACCATGTACGGATCGTCATGATCCATAACGCCCTGCATGGGATAACCCTGAACGACATGACCCAACCGCTGCTCCCATAGCTGAAGATACTGCCAATGCTCCAGTGCCCAGTTTGTCTCCGTCTTTCCCCGACGGTCAATGTCGTGAAGGCGCACGACAGTGTCACAGTTCCGGGGAATAGGCTGCTGCAGTCCGAACTGTCGCATGACGCGGTCAGGTAGGTGACTCTCCACAACCTCGAAACAGATCAGGGGGACCCGGGCACGCCACTCTCCCTGATGCTCCAGTAGATGTGCAGGCATGACATCTACCAACTCTGGTACATACGGATCCCATGTGATCTGCAATAACACATCCTAAACAAGTTAGTCCACAATCAGTATACACAGTACCTAAATGATTACAAATGTCTTCAGAGTTTGTACCTGATCCTCAGTGAGTCGATCAAGGGCGTCTCGGTAGTATGGGAGACCCGTCGCCGCATGTGCCTGTGTGAGTCTGGGGACCATCCACCTGGGGCAACAAATTTGGTAAGTATGTTTACAAAATGAAATCGTATATGGGAAAAAAAATGAGACAAGGGACATAATCGGTAGAAACCGAGCTCCTTTCAGCACATTGTTGAATGTCTCCGAGAAGTTAGTAGTACATATACCATACCTGCGACCACTGTCGTGAAACAAAGACCACATAGGGAACGGGACTTGAGCAATGTACTCAATGGCCTTGGGACAGGCCTCACCAATGAAACACAGATCAGCTTGAAGTTTTCTTTCTTGCCTTTGGTACGCAGCGGCCTTGAACATGTCTCTCATGTCGTTACTTCGCACGTGAGTCTTCAAGTTAGAGGCTATGTGGCGGACACAAAACCTGTGATACGCTCGGGGCTGGGTGAATCCAACATTAGGATCATTCATTGCTGCAATGATCCCAGGATGCCGATCAGAAATAACACAAAGGCCATCCCGTTGCGTGACACGATCTCGAATACAACCTAGGAACCAAGACCAGCTGGAAGTGTTTTCCCCTTCAACCACCGCAAATGCAATAGGAAATACTTGGAAGCTTGCATCAACACTCGTAGCAACCAACAGTGTTCCTTTATACTTCTCGTACAAGTGCGTCCCATCGATACAGATAACAGGCATACAATGTGTAGGTTCATCATCCCCCTCTCAGTTCTCGTCCTCATCATCCATTTCCGCATACACATCATACACCGACAATTCATTATTCACAACATCATCAAAATGATTTGGCTCTTCTCGAAACGGTGAACCATCATCACCTTGCATAGGAGAGTAGCTATGCAATTGCATCGGCGAAGATGCCACGGTGTTCGATGATGACGGAGCAGGCTGGCCGAACACTGTCACGCGTCCCCCCGCATGTACTGGTGAAGCTATATGAGAACTAAAAGGCAAGTGAAATTGGTCGTCCTGCATCATTCGAGTGAAAGAACCCATCCCATATGCATTCGATGGAATGTGGTTTGCGGGCTCTTGGAAGGACGCGGTGTTGTAATCAGAGACATATGTAGCTTGCTGTTCTGCCCGAGTACTTTGTTGGGTACATATAGGCACTGTTTCTACATATATCTCATTGGGAAAACCCTTCATTCCTACCATGCTCCTCAAACCTTTCAAATGTCTGTTCGTAGAGACAGGTAACACTTGCACCCCATGACCAGTATCACACCTCATTTTAAGGTTCAGTTCAACAGTCATAGGGTTTGAACCAGTACAACTGTGAACCTCATTCATCAGATCAGTCACAGTCATGTTCGGTTCAAGTGTTATAAGGTCCATATTCCCTCCACTGTACTCCACATTTGATCCATTACACAAAATTTCACCTCCCCATCGACATAACAACGCTACATTTTGTCCAGCCATATTCTACATAACAACCAAAACACATTTTATGTAAAGCCGTTAAATCATCCCTAAATCACCACAATCAAACAAAAAATTTTTACATACTCTACAAATTAACTACTAAGAACCCCTAAATCACCATTATTACACAACAATGTAGGTAATTACAATTGTTCAAAACCTAATAATTATCAACCATTGTCAACAATTTTCAACAAAACCAACAACAACAATTCAACATTATCCAAACTATTATCAACACTAACAATATCAACACTACCATTATCAACACTAACAATTCAACAATTACCAACACTAATAATTCAACAATACCAACACTAACAATTCAACATTTTTAACACTAACAACTCAACCTCATCAACATTTTAACCCAATTCCAAAAAAAATAGAAATCACCAACATAAACCCTAGAATTTAAAACACAAAGAAAGTTGAATGAATACCTATTTCAGGGTGAGGGGAGTGTATAGTGGGCTACACGGAGGGCGACGGTGGAGGTGACAGCGGGCGACGGTGGAGGTGGCGGCGCCGGCGGCGGTCTACACGGAGGAGCACAAGTATGAGAGAGAGGGGGATTAAGTTAGAGTTTGGGAAAGAAGGGGTTTGAGAATGAAGGAGGAGGAAATGAAATGAAATACGCTGTTGGAGGGAAAAAAAAACAACAGAAACGCTGTCTCAGACAGCGTTTCATTAATAACCTTAAACGCTGTCTGAGACAGCGTTTATAGTTCCAGAGTTAAACGCTGTCTGGGACAGCGTCTTTGGTATAACTGTTTTTGTTTTTTAAAAACATTTTTATAAATAAAAGGCAATTACAAATTTTTTTAAAAAAAAGGTCAACAACAAAGACGCTGTCCCAGACAGCGTTTTTAGGTTGATTTTTTTTTAAAAAAAACCCAGGCATAAAACGCTGACCGAGACAGCGTTTTAGCTTGGAAGCTTAGTTTGGTAAATACTTTTGCCACGCAACCATTTTGATTAATATTTGCCAAAATTGACCCACTTTGAAAAAACGTCCCATAAAAACACCAAATAACCCACCCACATCGGCCACATGTACAACATGCTATCATGTGTTATTTTTTTTGTTTTTTCGTGTAATAAATGCTGCTTACTCTGCTCCAAACTCCAAACACTTGCATATTCCAACTCAAACACACAATTTACAGAATAATCAATGGAAACTTCAAACACCAACTCTGTCACTTCTCAATCTCCATTTCAAAGGTTTGTTCTTTATCAATTACTATGTGTTTTTTTTTTTTTTTTTTTGTTACCTTTATTTTATCACTTTTTCTGTTTATTTATTTTGCTAATTTGCTTGATTTGATCTGGGTTTGTTGATTGGATTTTGAATGTTATATCTACTTGTTTCTAATGCTCAATTTTTTCTGGGTTCTTAATCTTAATTCATTTGATTCCTTTTATGCTGGTTTTGATTGTTAGAAGAATTTCACTTTAATTAATAAAGTTACTATATTAATTAAGGTGGAATATATTTGCAGTTGGAATAGTGGGCCAGATAATTCACAATGTTAGGTGGAGTGATGTTTGCTAAAAAGTAACATCATCGGATAATAGTATGCTTTTGATTAATCTTTAATTTAAACTAGAATTCAATCCAAAATAAAAATAGGCCGGGTTGGACCAAATTCGGGTTTTGTAATCAGTGTTTAAAGGATTGGATGATTCTTCTATTCTTGTTTATTCTTGTTAGTGTTAACTAAATTGTATCAAATTGGGTTTATGATCAAATAATTGAAAACATATACTAAGATATTCTACTCCTTCCTTCCAAAATTAATAGTCATGTTCATAGTGTAATTTGATCAACGAGTAGTAATGTGATAAATCCACAGGGAGTAGGCCTGTTCTCATACGTTTATTTTTATTTCAGCTCAACTCCTAATTTCCTTCTCTTATAAAATATTCATTTCAGTTCAGCTAAGTTCAGTTCAACTGATTTCAGTTTATTAGAACAGGCCCTAAATCATTTTTAATAGTTATTATAACTAGCCAGCTACATGATAGAGAAATGACTCGTAATAAGTAACTATCCTCATCTTTAGTTAATTGTGGATCTTGTCTATTAAGCCGTGTGAAATGATCTATGAGAAGTGACTTACATTATTTGCATATTGGATTAAGGTTCGATGGGAAACACCCTCCTTATAATATTGCAAGGGAACGGCTACGTACGTACATCTGGTCCCCTTTAACTCAGCCAGGCCTGGAACTTCTTTAGAAGTATTAGACTATGTACTATGTATATATGGTTCCTAGGTTGCTACATTAATCATTAATCTAGGTAATTGCTATCTAGGGAAACAATACACAATCATTAATGTAGCAACCTAGGAACCATATATACATAGTACATAGTCTAATAAGAAGTATTCGGGGTAATAATGTAGATTTTGTAGTAAATAATCGCTGAGAAGCTGTATAGTGTGATTTAATTTTAAATTTTCAGGATTTTACATGAGATCTACATTCTGATGAGTTAACTGTGAATAGTCTTCAGTGACAGGGCTGTTTATATATTTCGGCTATGCAGGCTGCAGATGACTTTTAGATGATACTCCGTATTATATCCATTAGTTTCACTAACATGTTGCAGGGGTCAGTTAGATGTGCTTCATGTCCTGCTACTGCTTGTGATGTGTTATAACATTTTAGCATTTATGTAGTGGTAGCTACAAAGTGAAGCAGCATACTTGTATTAGAGTAAGAATGATGATGATCGTTTCCACCAACTAGCAGCAAGCCTTGGTAATGACGAGTATAATATTCTTGTAACACGTAGCATGTCATAATGTGTAGGACTTTTTACTTGCTTACCGAATATTGGTTATTACTCGAGTTTAAAGTATGTGAAACAGAAAAGATCTAGTACCTTAGAAAATCTGATCTTGACATGGTTGTATAATACTTGTATATTTTAACTGTTTCATACTATGTCACTCTTGTGTTTGATCTCCAGGTTATCAGGAAAAGTGGCCTTGGTAACCGGAGGAGCCAATGGAATAGGAGAGAGCATTGTGCGTTTATTCCACAATAATGGTGCAAAAGTATGTTTTGTAGATATAAATGATGATGATGGCCAACGCCTCTTTAATTCCCTTGGTGGTGACTCGAACATCTGTTTCACCCACTGTGATGTTAGTAAAGAAGATGATGTCCGGCGTGCTGTTGACTTTACAGTTGAAAAGTTTGGCGCTCTTGATATTATGGTGAACAATGCAGGGATTTCAGGTCCTCCTAGCAGTGACATTCGTAATGTAGACCTATCTGATTTTGAGAGGACATTCGACATAAATGTGAAGGGTGTCTTTCTAGGGATGAAGCATGCTGCTCGAGTAATGATCCCATCTAAAAAAGGATCCATTATTTCAATCTCTAGTGTTTCAAGCATTGTAGCAGGTTGTGGTCCACATGCTTACACAGGGTCTAAACATGCTGTTTTGGGACTAACAAAGAGTGTGGCAGCTGAACTAGGACTGCATGGGATACGAGTTAACTGTGTTTCTCCCTACGCGATTCCAACAAACTTGTCCATGGCTCATTTGCCTGAGGATGAGAGGACCGAAGATGTATTTGCTGGTGTCCGTGCCTTCAGTGCAAAAAACGCCAATTTGAAAGGGGTGGAGCTGACAGTTGATGATGTTGCTAATTGCGTGCTTTTTTTGGCAAGTGACGAGGCAAAGTATATAAGTGGGGATAATCTTGTGGTTGATGGAGGGTTCACAGTCGTGGATCACTCCTTTAAAGTTTTCAGATGATTTATTGGATTAGTATATGAATTGATGATTCAAATCGTGATTATGAAATTAGAGTAATTGTATTTTGAGTTTCCAACCTCTGTTTAAATGCTTTAATTTATGTTGATCATGAAACATTGCTTATATTGGACTATTGGAGTGATGCACAATTATAGAGCTTGGTCTTGTAATTGATTGTAATTCAATTGAAATTTGAAGTCCATGTATCGTTGTTGGGTTTCAGATACTGGTGCTTCTAATGAAATAATGAATAGAGTGTACAGTTCCTTATCACTATTCACACACCTCTCTTTGACCGTGCTTTGTGATTTATGCGTAATGAAAAATATAATCATGTGGGATCTTGTTAGATTTGTCGTGAGATACATTTTCAAAATGTCAACTTTTTATAACTTTTGCTTTTCGGTAATTAAAGATATTAAGGATTGAAGTTGTGCATTGACAAACGTGACTAAAGAAACGTATTAACTAAAAAGAAACTTGAAATGTATGCCCAAATCACTCATCGATCGATGTAATTAATATTTATTTTTAATTTTTGTTAGTTTATACAACGTCTCGTGACACTCGTAAGCTATTGCCAATAAAAAATACGGAGTACGAAGTATATATACTCCGTACTCCGTGGTTATAGATTACAATCACTTTTGTATACACCCGGTTTTCAGTAATTAAGGGTTCGTTCTCATTGACTGAACTCAGCTGAACTAAAATGAACTGAACTGAATATTTTATAAGAGAAGGAAATTAGGAGTTGAGCTGAATTGAATTGAACTGAACTATACTGAGCTGAACTGAACTGAGCTGAACTGAACTGAACTGAATTTCAACGTAAGAAAACAGGGCCTTACTGTACATCGAGTTCACTTTTGTCAAATTTAGTGTCACTTTTGTCAATTTTAGTATCACTTTTGTCAAATTTATCAATGAAGCATATATAACTCTTATATATGTCAGAGTAACTTTTGTGCGTTTTAGTGTAACTTTTGCGCCTTTTATTGTCACTTTATAACGGATATTCAGTAATTTACTGAACATCCATTTTATTTAAAAGTTTGTGTACATTTGATGGCATAATGAAAGGTTGACAAATAGTCCAGCCCAATTTCGGAGCCCATATTGTAAGAACTAAGAAATACTGGTACAACCGTACAAGGCACCACGAACCGACTTACGGACATTATATTTAGTGAACTGTTAAACATCGCCCGCAAATTCCTACATAAAGCCCACAAAATAAGAGTGAAATGACACTGTTGCCCTCAAACTAAAAAACACAATTTCTCTCTCTACTCTCTACTTCCACTTTCTCTCTCTAAATTATTTCCAGAGCTATGTCGAGGCGGCCCGGCAAGGAAGTGGCGGCACCGGCGGTGGGCGGAAGGCGGTTTGCCGGCCAGAAGGTAATTTTTTAAATTTTTGTAATTTTTTTTTAAAAAAAAAAAACCTCCGGCGACGGTGGGGCGCCAAGGCGAGACGCCACCACCACGGAGGAAGCGCCTAGGCAAGACGCCCATACGGTGGTGGCGACGCCTAGCCCAGACGCCACTACCACGGCGGCGGCGCATAGGCTAGGCGCCACGGCCGTGGTAGTGGCGTCTGGGCTAGGCGCCGCCACCACCGTACGGGCGTCTTGCCTAGGCGCCTCCTTCTCTTTTTTTTTTTAAAATTTTTTTTTTGTTTTTTTTTAATTTTAAATTTTATTTTCGATTTTTTTTTTTTTTTTAAAAAATTTGTTTTTCTTTTTTTAAATTGTATGTTCCCTTTTTTTTTTTATCTTTTTTTTTTAAATTTTGTTTTTTTATTTGTTTTAATTTTATGTTCTATTTTTTTTTTAAAAAAAAATTGTTTCTGGTTTTAATTTTTAATTTTATGTTCCTATGTATTTTTATTTTTTTTTTGAATTATATTTTTGTATGTAAAAAAATTATAAGTTCCCTTTTTTTTTTTATAAATTTTCTTTAAAATTTTGATATTCTTCTTTTTTTAAGTTTTTGCAATTTTAAATTTTTTAAGTTTTGTTAGTTTTTTGTTTTTGGTTTTTTCTTTGCATTTTTGATTTTTTGTTTTTGTTTATGTTTTTCATTTTTTAGTTTGTTGTTTATATTTTTTGTTTTTGGTTATATATTTTGTTTTTGGTATATTGTTTTGTTCATATTTATATTTTTTTATGTTTATATTTATATTTTTTATGTTTTTATTTATATTGTGTTGTTTATATTTTTATTTTTTATGTTTATAATTTTATTTCCGTTACTTGTTTATTTGCTTTTGTGTTTATTTTCGTCCTTTTTTGTATTTATATTTTTTGTTTTTGGTAATATTTTTTGTTTTTGTTTTTGTTTATGTTTGTTTTTTTTTTGTTTGTAGTTTATATTTTTTGTTTTTGGTATATGTTTATGTTTATATTTCTTATGTTTATATGTATATTGTCTTGTATATATTTATATTTTTTATGTTTATAATTTTATTTCCGTGACTTGTTTATTTGCTTTTGTGTTTATTTTCGACTTTTTTTAATTTGTTTTCGTTATTATGTTTCGTTATTTACTTGGAGTTAGGCATCGCAATTTGGACCTGGTGCGGGGAAGAGTATTGACGTCGTGAGGAGTACGATCTACTCAATGGAGAGCTCGGGGCCCAGACACGTTAGATCCCGTGGTATTTCGGCCTCGGCCCGCAGAGAACGGGTGCACTGTTCTGCGGACGATCAAGATGATGATGATGATGAGGAGGAGGAGGAGGAGGTCGAGGACGAGGATGATGCAGATGAGGATGTCGACGATCAGAGTGGACCATATGATGATTACGGTCCATTCAGTCAGAGGCTTGATGATACGTATGAGACGCATAGGGTAGATGTGCGTAAGGGTCGAGATGGTAGGTTTGTTAGTAGATCTGGCACATCATCTGCGTCCACTGTGTCTGCGGGTAGCAGAAAACGGTCGAGGGCCGTTAATGATTCTTGGATGGTGAGGGGTGAGGTGGCCGGGGGACCTATAGACGGGAGTGTGAATCCTAGCTTTTTAGGACACATCGCTACCCGTATTTGGGAGGACCAGGAGAGGGCTTTGGATACAGGCATTTTGAAATGCCAAACCCGGGAAAAGACTTGTAGGTTTTTGTGTAGCTGGGCTGATGCTTGGCCGGAGGAGAGCGAGATGGTCGGGCGATTGAGGGGCACTAGAGTGAGTCACCTTCCTGCCACCATGCACGACAGGATTAGACATTATCTTTTTAGTTTGTAATATTTGAAATTATTGTTCTTAGTTTTTAAAATTCAATATTATCTTTTTAGTTTGTAATATTGTGAAATTATTGTTATTAGTTTTTAAAATGAAACATTATCTTTTAAAAATGAACACATAGAAATGACATAGTATTGACAATACAAGGCCTCATAGTAAAAGGTAGGTGTACATCAACAAAAACTACATGGCAATTAAATTGTTCCACTATTGCACGCGAGCATGGTACAAAGCATCCCAACCCTCCACGCTTGCTCTACGAATTTCATACCACTTCGGTATGATATGTGGGACCGGAAAATCGGGTGACATGTCTAATCGGATAAAATGTCTGTATGACGGCCCAAGAAATCCAATAGCAACGTCCCTTACCGGTCTGGTGACGGTCTCGCGCGAACACCAGGGCAGAACCGTTGTACATGGATAATAGGCTCGACTATGTAAACCAAGGCCAAAATGCATGACTGCACACTTGTAGATGTTTGCAACGGCAAAGAGATCAAGTGGCGCATCGAACCAATGATTTTGATCGCAAGGTCCCCCTCCCCACCGGATACGCTGCAGAGACCTATCCAAGTCCTCGCCGTACACATGGCCATACACATCTCGGTTTGATGCGATTTCACTGTACATCAACTGCCGCACTAAACCGTAGTTGTCTTCACCCATTTGAAACACATCCGCCACAACCCGAAATCCGCAGTTACCATCTGCAATGACATCATTCCACCCGTCCAAGAATGGCATCATGATATTAGGGATCCTGTCCTTATATGGAAAATGTTCAATGTCCATTCTCCCTGTTACACACATCAATAAACACAATAAACAAGTCAACAGTAAACTAATCAAACAGTCAACAAAAGAAATTGAAGTCGAATGTCTTACCGGTGCCGGGCATATTCACCGACGACGATGATTGGCTGCCACTTGATGAGGATGTACGACCACGGCCACGGCCACGGCCACGACCGCGAATGTACTCAAACGCACTCTTGTTCCGCCGTGGTTGTCGACCCCTAGGTCGCTCGACCCCTTCCGGTTCCTCGGTATCCAAAAACGATGTATTGAACATGTCATGAAGTATGTGTGTAGCACTACGAATGATCGAAGGGTGACTGGAGGACACTTGGTCAAACATCAACTGAAACTGCTCCAACTCCTCCTGTTCACGGTGAACCGTATGCGGAACAGCATGCTCTCCGATAACGAGCGTCCGCCAGAATGGATGAACCTGATCGACATGTAACGACGCCCTGTCTTGCGTAATTACGCGGTGAATGGTGCATGCACAAGGTAATCCATGAGTCACTGATATAGCACATCCGCACCGAATAGCCACTTCATCGCCCAACTCCCTCATCCTGGTATACTCGCTCAGAATCAACCCCAAACAGTGGTGTGACACACGACCGTGGAGAATCTTAAATATGAAATGGCCATACAACATGCCATGTCGTCGTCTGGAGTCCTCGAGATAGTTCTTGATGCCGTTCCTCTGAGTATCAATAGCCTTGTTTATTCTATCGAACAGTGTATCCAGAGCAGCCGTGGAAGAATCAATCCAGTCCTTCAAAGCTTTATGAGCGCTCTCGACTCTGCATGTCGTAGTGTTCCCAAAATGAAGAACTTGGTTCGTCCAATATTTGACAAACTTTTCCCTCTGAGGTACCCACTGGTGCATCACATAGTCTACGATTGGCGGGCACCACTTGTACGCATCCTTGAAGTTTTCCAAGGCTCGATCGTACTCTGCCTCTGTGGTAGCTTGCATGATCTTCCGCCACTTACCATTTACCAATGTCTCTGCTGTTACTAAATTCTTGTTGAAAAGATTGTAGGCTTTGACTTTCACGCAGTTGTTGATGTGCCATGTGCACAGTAAATGGCTCGACTCCGGAAACAGCTCCGCTATAGGGGCAAAAAGACCTCCCTCACAATCACTTACGATGGCCGATGGCTGTACATTTGGGCCGATGTAGTTTCTCAACTTTTCCAACACCCAACGGTAACTCGCAGCCGTCTCATCCTTCATGACTGCATAACCAATCAGAAAGTTCTGGTTCGTTGGAGCCATCCCAACCATCTCAACCAGTGGGAACTTGTACTTGTTTGTCTTGTACGTTGAATCGATCAAAATCACATATGGCCAAGACGAAATCATATCAGCACAATCAGGATGGACAAGGAACAAATGAGTTACCTCCGATGTGTCTTCGTCAGATTCAAACCAGTAAAGGTAACCACGTGCTTGTGCCTGGTGCAGAAGCTGCTGTATAGGGTTCCTTCCCTCTGACCGTTCAAACCTCAATTTCTGTCTGACGTTGTAGATGTGTCTTCGGTTTGGCTGGACTTCGGGGAATTTCTCTAACACAGACGCTAATATTTTAGCGGGCTTCACTTGAGCATCACTCATTTCTTTTACAACTAGTTTCGCAGCTGGACTTAGGCCGCTTAACTGCCGATGCCCCACTTTGTATGCTATCAGCTCATGGTTGTGATATCCCCATTTGCCGTAACCCTTCACTTCCCAACCGTCACGCCTTTGATGTTGTCGAACCTTAACTCGGAACTGACACCCACAACCTTTCCGCTTTGAGTCAAACCGAATCGCTTTACTGAAATCTCGTTCTTCTCTTTTGCGATAACGGTCGCATCTCAAAATGCGATCCATTCTACCATCCCGTTGAGATTTATGAGTTGCTACTACTAAACAAAAGCCTGATCTAATTGCAACCTGTTTTGCCCAATCAATCGCTTGTTGAGCATCTTCGAACAGGCCATCATGTACAAAAATCCCACTGTAATCATTTCCGTCTCCACCATAATCCTGTAACAATAACATATAACGTATTAATATAATTACATTAAGATTAAATTAATACACTTAACACAAAATTATCACAAACGCAATTTCTAAATTTTAAATTTCTAAATATCATTTTTATATTTAACGCATAATACATTTAAAAAACAAAATAATAACACACATTTCATTTCAAATTTATCAAACATAAATAAACAAACAAAAAAAACCATAATAAAAAAAAATAAACAAATACAAAACAAAATAAAACAAAATAAAACAAAAACAAACACAAAATAAAAGATGCATTAAAAAAACTTAATTAAAAAAAAAAAATAATTCCCTCCAAAAAAAATTAAAAGGAAATAAAACAACACAAACAAAAATTAAATAAAAAAAAAACAAAAACAAAAAAAAAAAAAAAAAAAGGGATTAAATTAAAAAAAAAAAAAAAAAAAAAAAATATATTCCCCTAGTGGCGCCTGGCCAGGACGCCGGAGCCACGGCCGGGGCGCCTGGTCAGGACGCCGCCGCCATGGTGGCGGCGTCCTGGCCAGGCGCCCTGGCCGTGGCTCCGGCGTCCTGGCCACGCGCCACTACCATGGTCGAGGCTTCTCCACTAGGCGCCGTTACCACGGTGGCGGCGTCCTGGCTAGGCGCCACAACCACGGCATGGCCTTTTGGCTAGGCGCCAGCCACCATTTCGTCCTTACGATGCGTTACGAACCTCGTTTTCCGATGACGACGGCGATTCTCCGGTGATCCTCGGCGATCCGGTGCTGCTCCACATTTTTTTTAGTGCGAAAAATTTATCTTCGGTTAAAATTATAAAAAGGGCAAATTTGTCAAAAAATTATAAAATGTGGGCTTTATGTAGAGATTTGCGGGCGATGAATAACAAGTCCCTATATTTACCGTATGTATTGTATTATTCAGGATATCTGGAAATTTTATTTTATTTTTAATTGAGGGAAATCTGGAAGATTAGTTAGGGTTAGAACTTGGAAAGGAATTTTGGGTATGTCGATTTTCTTCAAATTGTTTCTTTGAATTCTCTTCAATTTTCAGTATCTCAATTGAATGGTGTGTGTTATTTTGATTTACATTTTAGGATTTTTGATTTTGAATTAACTGTTGATCAATCTCTCTCTTCCTACAACAGAATCAAGGAGACGCTGAGAATTAAGAGAGCTTCTGCACTTTCTGATTTGCAGGAAACAACTAAGAAATTCAAATCTTTGAATGAACAAGAGTAATTTATTTTCCTGCTTTTTAATTTTTGGAAAAATTTAGAACCATATATATATATATATATATATATATATATATATATATATATATATATATGAATTTGTCAATTAGATGATTAACACATTGAAATTGGTTGCAATTGTCAGAAATTCTGAGGACGACTACGATGCGTGGGAAGGTCCCCAGTCTCCAGTTAGAGGGGAAATTGAATACACGTAGGTTTTCTGACCCGCAACTCCTTATTTGTTTTGTTGTTGTTTGATTTTGAAGAATTTCAATTGAGATAGAGAGAATTTAGGGTTTGGATGTTTATGAATTTAGAGAGAATTTATTAACAAATTGAGCAATTAATATGGTATCAATTGATGTATTCATCTTCTGTGCTGCAGTAATTTTGGGAATTCATAGTGTGCCATACTAGTCTCTATTTTAACATCTAACCCTCTTTGATTTGTTATGAGAAATCTTGCAAATTGTTTAGTTTAGACTGAATTCATTATTGACTGTAACACAGACAATTAGTTATCCTTATTGGTTATGTTATCCAGCTCTTCATAATAATTTTGCTAGCATTCTAGTTGTTGTGTTTTTTTGCATTTCACCATTCCGCCTTACCAAGAGCAAGAACCGACCTTATAACTTGTAATTAGCTACCCTCAATCTTTTTTATACACGAATACACCCCCCGACCATTGTAGTTGTTTGGCTATTCATTTCACCATTCTGCCTTGTCACAAGCATTGATGTGCAAGTACAATATGTGGGTTTTTTTGGACTTGTACCTTTTTTTTTCAATAACACAAATACTCAATCGACCTTGTAACTTGTAAATTGCTCCCTTTTCCCATATAAAATTAGATATAATGAAGAAGATTTATTGTTTAACTTTTTTTTTTTTAATAATTTTGGAAACTAATGTTTAACTTGCGGAGTTGGATGCCACATATTAATACTTCTGCTCCTTTGTGTTCTTTCAAAAAAAAAAGTTTTCCAAAAAGAGACTTCACAGAGGAGCTTAAACGTCAAAATGTTGAGGCTGCTGAACATGCTTTGGAATTCTACAATAAGAAATACGTATGTACTTGTATACTTTATTTACCAGAAGTATATTCTTTCTCTTTCTTTTCTGCTTCAAGTCATGTTACTGTACTTACACTCTTTAATTTCTGCACTTGCATTTTGTAATCTGCAGCGGAAAAACTATCAGCTTGTAGATGCCTTGGCTAGCAATGCCATGTTATACGATACAATTTGGATCCACTGCTAAGGAACAAAGGACTTCTGATGGCGATGAGGATTCTCCAACCAAGCTTCGTGGTATCAAAGATCCACCGTATAATTCAGTAACTAATTGTCGAATCTTAAAAGGTAAAAAAAGACCCTAGCCTCCTGCTACATTGCTTCTTGTAAGTTGTTTTTAGTATGTGTGCTCTTTTAAGTAAGCCTCGCAAATAATTTATTGACAATCACAACTTCAGAATTTCTACCCTCAATTATTTACAGCCTGTTTTTGCTCCTCAAACAGGTAGTGAATCTGCTGGATGTTCGTCATGCGAAACCATTAAGCATCCATCCCATGGATTTCTTTCTGAACGTATCTTTCGTCTCGGCTCTTTACGTCCTCGCCCGGGTCGTGCTCGCTGAATTCTGCAGTCTCAACAATTGCTGCTTGTAATTGGCTTATGTAAATCTGATTCAACTGTCATGTTCTAAAATTATGTAGACATTGGTTGCATATTCTGACGTAATGTTTATGATCTCTAATGTCTTCTCAAAAGTTAAATGCTGGGAATTCAGTTTATTCCAATGGATTTTTTTTAAATAAGTATTTTATAATTCCTTGATTCCTATTGTACCATTTACGTATTCCCTCCATCCCCAAGTAAAGAAAACTTTACATTTTGGTTTTTGTTTTTCCTCCATCCATCCCCAAGCGTGGCACCTTGTTCGTGCAAAGGAGTCTATGTTGAGGAAGGTAATGAAGGCCAAATATAACCGTGATTTCCTTGATGCTTCTCAGTCACCTAATTGTAGCTCTTCAGTCCTCATGGAGGAGTATATGGGGATCTTAATCTTTGATAGATGAAGGGATAATTTGAAGAGCGGGGATTGGGTTCAACATCAACATATGGCACGACCCAAATGACCCATAAATTAAAAAAATAAATAAATAAAAGTCAATGTCATAACTCTTAAGTGTTTAATAATCAAACATTATGCAGAATTTCCGAAACCATGAATTACAAGGATAATAGTGGACTTAATGAAGAATTAATTCAACAATTTCATTGATAAGAGGTAATCTATCTCTTTCCATACAACAGGCGGTGTTTCTAAGAAGCTAAAACAGAAGCATTACTCAGTGCCAAAAGTATCTTTACATTTACCAAGCCCTTAATCTGAATAATCGTATATACTCTGAAATGGATTCAAATACTCGTAATCATACTTCAACTGAATGAACTTTTTCATTCAAATTTGGTAGTGAACCTTCCCACATCTCTAGCAGCTCATTTCTGAGCCAAGAGATTACAATTATAGGACCTAATGTTGAAGGGACCTGCATCAACAAAAAAAGAGAATTTCAAATCAGAATCGAGTGCTAGTAAAAAGGCACATACATCGTATAAGTTGCCTTGAAGTATATACCCTAAAGTTCAAAAGTTTTCAACTTAGCGGCAGCAACAACCACTACTACTACACTCTTGAGTTTTCAAAAGTGATTTCACTGAATTGTGATAACTACCACATCTGTATATTCCTAGGTAAAGAGGAAATATGCAAAAGAGCAGTTTCATACTTTGACAGCATAATGTCAAGAAATATTTCAATCCATCACAGCCTCATTCTGACATTATAAGGTTGAGGAACCTCTCCCCACACCCACAGCCTTCTCTCTTCGGGAGAAGATGATTATTTTAATTTCTAATGAATGAATCTCAGCTAACTAGCACAAAATGATGCCAAACTACTTATCAGATTTTCTAATTCCTATAGAGAGACTACAATGTGCAAGTTCGCAACCATAAAACCCATACAAATATCACCCTTAAGCATACCAAATCAGCAAATAGAATATTTTTGATACAGTGATATGTAATATTGTAACGTATAGAAACTCCATAATTAATTGATATATTAAGCTAAATAAAACATCACATAATCAGAAACATGAATCAATAAACCTATAATAAGAAGTTACCAGCCAGATAAACATCTATTTCTAATAAAGTAATAAGTACAATCACATCAAGCATATCTACGATTCAATTATAGAACCATGCCTTTATACAAATTTCATATGTTCCACCAGTATAAAAGTAACCTTACCAGGTACAAAAGTGCTGGCTGCGGTGAATGAGACAAAATCCCAGCAGCCAAAGCCGTCACAAGGCCGACAGCATATCCAGACGTGGCGTACCATATATACAGATATACTTGTGCCCTCTAGAGGAAGCAAAATCAGTCGGGTTGACTGCTCTCTTTCTGTGATCGAAGCAGAAAACTAATGCTAAAAGCATGGCAGGGATTGCCTGAAAAACATTCAAATATAGATTTAAATGCAAAGTTCCTTGAAAAGAAACAGAAGAGAATTCGGTTGCAACAGAGAAGACTCAGGCTTTGCTAATGATGAAGACAATCAGAAAATTTCACACTATTGAGCATACAACCAGTTTTCCTAAAATGTTACCTATGACAACTCTAGTTACTTTATCAAGTAGAAGCATCTTGTTGCATTTATAACTGGGCAGGATCAAACCAGCCCTGTACTGTTTAGCTTGGTAGTCAGCGGACACAATGCCAAAAATGTAAATTATAGCTTTAGATGCATCTCTGGATAATATGTGCCAAGTGCGTTTGACTTATTCGACAAAGGATTTCATTGGTAAAGGACTGCAAGTGAATTTTTTTCATGCGGCAAAGAATTTCTAGCAATAGAGAAGACTCAAAGAGTACACAAAGTTGTTGACACCTCAATACACAAAAACCAGATGCATGCTAAAGTTTAAATGAGATAGCTATCAATAGACAACCTTGCTTAATGATATTGTGATGACCTTGCACATAGGGTAGCTAACTCTATCCATGAGAAGAAATGCATAGAGCAATAAAAGAAAAGTGTATATACATCAATGCATGATCAAGGCCTAAAACCAGCAATTAACAAATGTTCTATTTTTTCCCAAATTCCAAATCAAAGTATTTCAAGTATAGTAACTATTAATTTATCGCAATAATCAAGACTAAAAATTGCATGTCAACCACTCAATCACTGAACTAGCAAGTTAAGTTGAGAGAATGCTATACCATGTCTCCTAGTCCAAGCATCATGAAGTCTGCTGCATGTTCTCCTGGAGTGACTCCACCTAGGAGATTCCTAGGGAAGACAATCTTCACCGGTAGCTCCAATTTTTTAGTAATCAACTGCAAACCTGGAAGACTCAAACTATTTGCTACAGTATGTACGGGATTAGATGCCTGCTGAGTTGCAACGGAGACCATTACATTGGCACCAAAGAATCTTTCTGAGTAGAAAACCCAAAAGATGTCGTACATAAATAAACACGCAAGAAGCATCGCACACACTTTAATGTTTGGAAGTCGCACGTGACTTACAAAAGCAACACAGATGGAAATGCCTAACAAGTTGTTCAATATCCAGTGACCAGAAACAAGCCAAGCTGCCACTGTACACACACACACAACCAAAAGGAGCCCTTGGGTCCTGGTAATTGACTTGGAACAACACCATGACACATATGGGTCAGCCAACCCAAGTTGCAACTTCACACGATTGACGTATGGTGATAGGCAAAAAAAAAGTGAGGAAGCAGAGGCAATAGCTGTAAACCCGGTCAAGATTTGTGACACTGAAGAAAACAAGTAAAACATCATGATCAGGCTGAAAGAGCTCATAATTGGGATCATAAGGGCTTGAGACCTGTCCAAGGTAATTGATGCTTCAGATAAATCACGATTACGCTCCATCTCTTTACCATAATTTAGAGCTCGAAAAGCAGAACCAAATGTCACAGCAACTGCAGTTATAATGAGAGTAATCGGAGCAGGTTCTAACAGATAAAGAAGCTTCCACAAAGATTCCATAGCTTACTCCACATGCAAAACCCTTCGATTAAATCTATAAAAGCTTAACTTTGCACACCTAAGATTAGTAAAAAATACTCTACTGCCAAAGCTGCAACCTTTCTCCAGTGTAAACTGGACCAGAGAACTTACACAACCTGAAATGAGTCAGAATAGGAAAATATCAGATCTGTTCCAACCAACAAGCACCACAACTCCACAGGGAGATAAGAGTTTGGCCGTATAAGCAATGACACTAGCATTGCCCAAACACAAAATAAAACTAGATACACCGTTTACCATATACGATTCCATGATCTCTACAATTGGAAAAAGCAACCAAGAGTAATACCAAGACAATATATAGAACAATTAAAGCAACTACTCATCAAACATTCTTTAAACTTAAAGTCATAAACCCCATACTTTAATTGAATTTGAACATGGTTACATGGCCCAAAAATACCAATGAAACTATGGCATAGCAAACCATTTGCCTCGATATCCATCAACTATCATTAAATTTCCTTTTTTGTGGTTAATCATCTACTATCATGGTTTGATTAAGTAATTTGTACCTTTTCTCCCATTGCAACAAATTTGCAGTCTAAGTAATACGAGTAAATAAAAGAAGAAAAACAATGCTCAACATTTCACTAACCCCAGTTTCATCTTAATCCTGTGCGCTCTTAAATTCTACTAAATCAAACATTACAGCAGGATAAATCATCAAATTCCAGATTTTCATCAAAATTACACTTTACAACAACAAATATCAAAACCCCACAAATAAAAAGCAACTGATAATTACAAACATTAATTGCAACATACCCAAAATAATCATCAATTACTTTTTAATTTATCAGCAGAAAGTAAATAATGAAGCAATTACACTAAGAATTGCAATTCATAAAATAAAAAAAAAACCCAATTAATATTCATCAATATAATCAAAATTAAACAAGAACAAATACCCAGATCAGAATAAGATGGGATCTTTAAGTTTGAATGTGAAAATAATAAATTAGAATTGATGAAGATATGGAATTAAGGGTTGGAAATTGGACTAACCTTGGACTTGAAGGGAGATTGAGGAGTGAGTGGAAAAAGTACTTACTATTCTTGGGAGATGGTTTTAATTCGATTGACCAAAACTCCAAAAGTAGTCCGAATTTGATATGTGATTGATTTTTTGCAGATTGGTCCCTCATCTTCTGATATTTGTAGATTTTGTACTCAGAGTTTGAGGACTTGCCAAATTTCCGAGAGAATTTAGGATGACATTTTTTTTTTTTTTTTTTTTTGAGGAAAATTTAGGATGACATTTAATAAGCCCAACAGGTTAATATTGTGTTTTTAGGTTTGGGTTTTGTTGGAGTTTAGTTGGGCCATGTATAGTGGGTTAACGCAGGAATGTGTTAATAACTTAATCTGGATTTTAAAGTAAGGTTAGCACAATTTATTTTAAGACTTTCAAGTTTCAACACATGTGTGTGATATGTACAAAAAAAATAATGGTAAAATAATATACGGCTATTTCACCAAATGCCACTGACAAATTACGAAATTCATCAAATGCCATCGAACTTTTCAGAATTCACCAAATGCCATTGACAACTAGTATATTAACACAACGTGCCATTAATGATGCCAGGACGTTAGTTGGCCGTTATTGCGAAAATACTATTTTACCCTTTCTTTGTGTTTAATGGCGCCATTAAGAAGTTGACTGTCTGACTTCTCTTTTTTCAATTATTCAATTGTTGTTGGACCTTGTTCTTCCATAACTTCCATATTAATATACTAAAGTAATCCTCAGCTTTATCCATGTTCCATGTTCAATTTCAAAAAAAAAAAAAAAATTCCAAACTTAAAAAAAAAAAAAAAAAAAAAGGAACTCATCATAGGTGGCCAGCCACCACCTCCTGCCGTTAAGCCCCCTGCCCACCCCAAAACCCTAGCCACCACCACCCCTGCCGTCGTCCCTCCATTAAAGCGAACTCCATTTTCTCCGATGAAGCGAAATCTTCTACAAGATTCTTCTTAGCTAGTTAGCTGGGATTATTTTCGTCTTCCTCAACATTCTCAAACAACTTCCCCCATTTCTCCTCGTTTTTTTTATTTTTTTTTTTATTTTAATTCTTACTTTATTTTTATTCTATTATCTCTGTAATTTCTTAGGCACAATGTTGAAAATATATTTTCAAGCTATTTGGGTTTTGTGAAAATTAAAATTCTAAGGGATTAAAATTTGAGTTGAAATTAGGATCAATTGTTAAAATTTTGACCATTGAAACCTAAATTCTCAGGTTGTTGTTTTATTCACCCCAATATCGAATTGAAACCGAGAATATTGGAGTGATAAGAATTGGAGTGAGAAAATTGGGTTGCTGAATTGCCCAGATGAAGAAACCGAGAGAAAGAGATGAGTGGCAGAGAAGATGAAGGTAAAAAGTGAGTCATGGCAGCCGATCGATTAGTGTTGTTCGAACAATTTGATTTGAATTGTTCGGGGAGGTGAAGGAAGGGGGGTGGGGTTTTGGATTTTGTGTTTAAAGCTCCGGTGGGTCGCGACGAGGGGAAAGGGAGGGGGGGCCGGCGGCAGTGCGGAGGAAGCAAGGGTTGATTGCGGTGGACTACTGGATGTGGTGGTGTTGCGGGCTGATTGCGGTGGTACCAAGGGTTTAGGCTAGGGTGTGTGGCGCGACGGGGGAAGAGGAGGGGAAAGGGAGGGGGGCCGGCAGCCGTCGGCACGCCGGTGCAGGTGGGCTGGTGGCTGCCGAGGTGGTGGCTGGGGTTTGAGGTTTGGGTTTTTTTATTATTATTATTTTTTTTAATATTTTTGGTTTGTTTTTGGAATTTTTGTAATTTTTTTTATTTAATTTTTTTTTAAAAAAAACGGACCAATCAGAAAGTGACACGTGACAAGTGGTGGGGTCCACTAACGGTCAATTAACGGCTGTCAGTCATTAATGGCACTCAGTGAACTTTGTTAAAACTCGGTGACATTTGGTGAATTCTGAAAAGTTCGATGGCATTTGATGAATTCCGTAATTTGTCAGTGGCAGTTGGTGAAATAGCCGAATAAATGTATATATTAGAGCTGAACTCATATTTTTTTTCCAAGTAATATATATTATTTCCAAACTGAACTTACTAGAGCTGAATTAAACTAAACTGAAATGAATATTTTATAAGAGTAGGAAATTAGGAGCTGAACTGAACTGAACTGGACTTATTAGAGTTAAAATGAACTGAACTGAAAATAATTGTATGAGAACAGACCATTACCACACATGTCAAATTGTCAATAGGTCATCTTTTCACTCATTTTAATCTCTCAACTCTATTTTTTTTTCTTGTTTATTTATTGCTCCGTAGTTGTCTGTTCATTATCAATTTACGAGTTACGATTTGCATTAACTCAATTTGCTTTGGCTCACTAAATGTAAAATTGTCATTATTGACCTTGACTGACTCTAACCTAACTTGTCCAACGACTAGATTTTACGTATTATTTGCGAACATGACTATATCATTAAGGGGTGATTGGAAAATTTGGGAAGAGGGCGGGGAGAGATTTGAATACTACAATCCAAAGCTTCTATAATGCCATTTTTAATTTGGTGGAAAGATTTTAGTATTATTTCCAAAATATTCCATTAATCATTGAGCTTTACAATATCCTCATTATTTCTCCATTCATTTTCCCTTCAAACAAGAACATTCAGGTTTATAAGTCTGATAGTAAAAAAATGTTATAAATCAAGGGGCGGTAAGGTCATTCAATAAATGATAGCTTTGTCATTACCTGATAAATGAGATAACTTTGTCATTTCATCATTTTTTACTCAGTAAATTTTATTTATTTTTTTTAAAAAATAGGTAGTTGATTTACAAGCACCGTGAATACCCGATTAGTTGATTGTAAGCCCTTTTTATAAATTTTGTTAAATTTCCTATTGAACATGACAACAAAAGAATTATACAAAGTAATCAATTACCCAATTTAAACCACACATCTTATACATGATTTCAACTTGAAAAATATATGGCCCTGTTTGGTGGAAAGCTAAAAGATGAAGCTGATTGAGTTAGCTGATTTTGATTAGTTGATTTTATTAACTGATTTGACTAACTTATTGTATTAACTGATTGTATGAAAGTGTTTGGTAAATTGCTGATTACTTAAAGGTGTTTAAGTATGCAAAATGACCAATAAGAACATTGACATATTGAACTTTGAAGGATTAGTTATTTCATAAAAGAAAAATTACATTATAAACTTTGTAATGTTACAATCATTTTTATGATATTGAAAAATTTTTTGTTTATTAAATTAAACTTGTTTCTTTCTTGTCCCAAAAAAAAAAAAAAAAAACCTGTTTCTTCAAAAAAAATAAATAAATATCTAACATAAAAAATCAGATTATTAAAAAAAAAAAGAACATGAATGATAATAATAATAATAAAAAAAATCAGATTTATCTGGTTAGAGTTAAAGATTTCGAAAATTTTGGAGGAGATAAGAATTACTAAAAGTTAGATTAAAACAAATATTTTTTTTTAACCACATGACCAATAATTAAATATACTAAAAAAAACAATAAACAGAACAAAGAAAAATAAAAGGAAAAGATTGTTTCAAGAAAAAAAAATAAGGAAAAGAAATTGAGAAAATGAACAGAATTAGATCTACAATGGAGTATGTGGAGTGGAGGTGGGAAGAAGTGAGAAATGAATTGCAGTTGCAGGGTTGTATGTCATAGGACTTAATCAAAGCAAGAGGGCAAATTCGTAATTTAAACTCACCTAAGCAAATAAGCTCTTTGGAAACGTTGCTCATACCAACGTTTTGTAAAAAAAGCTTTTTGAGGTAAATAAGCTTTTCCAATAAGTTTGTCACCAAACACTAGTATTAGCTAAAGTTGGTCAAATAAGCTAATTTTTCCTCAATAAGCTGTTTACCAAACATAGTCATACCTAAACTCAATGTGACTATATTATGACTAAGTTTTTCAAAAATATACTATCTCCGATTTTTATAATACCCCTTTGTTGCGAGTAATAAGAACCGGAGGTAGTAAAATGAACAATCATCAATAAAACATGAATAACCTCACTAGAATGACTTATCTTGGGCTAGAAATATTGAAGCACTCTTTAACTAATCTAAATCAGAATATTTGTCAAAGTGTACAAGTTCAAAGGTAAGCGACAGTCACGGGACCAACTTAGGCAGACCTCCATTCTCCAACCAAACCTCCCTATATTTTCTTTTAGTTTGTTGAGCTTGAAATTCAATCAAACTCCCCATACTCAATTACTTCTACCAAACACCACTTTCACTATTTTGTTTTATTTTACTAGACTAGAATTTACCTGTGTTAATGCACGGGATGACGATATTGAGACTATTGACGGCCTATCAATGTACAACCTTTTTTTTTTTTTTGATGACTAATAATGTACACCTATAACAAATTAACAATTAATACTACCTCCGTTTCATATTATTTGCAACTTTACAATATTGTACGAAATATATTTCACAAATAATACCCTAAAGTTACAACTAATATAAAATGGAGGTAGTAGATCATTAATAAATTCTTTTAATATTATAGAAAGAAAAATATGTTGAGATTAGTAACTTAAATACTCATAGATGTTTGATAAATTTCAATTAAAGAAAAAAAAAAAAGGTGACTCAAAACAAGAGTAGAGACGACACAAAATGTAAAAAAGTGAAAAGTTAGAGGCTCGATCCCTGACCATCAATCATTTTCACAACAAACGAAATTGGGCCCCATCTTTTTCTTTATCTCTTTCTTCACTCTCCCTATATAAACCAGCACACCTCCATTTCCCCTCCATCTTTCCTTTCCCTCCTCTACAACACTCTTGCTAATCCTCCTATATTGGAGGCCGAGGAGGTGGTATTTCAAACTCGTTCATTACTTTGGCGGAACTTGATTTTATTACGTCCCGGCCCTGTCTTAACCGGGGCTTTCTATCTAGATTCTCATAACACATACATTGTAAATTTGTTTATAACGTCGTTACGAATAATGATGGCGTTACGGTTAGTTGTAGCTGTATTGTTGCTGATAACATGCGTACCGTGGTGTGTTAACTCGCAATTACCACATCGACCAGTGGTGGGAATGACAATGGTGAAAAATTCTACTGCTACAGCTCTTGGAGCATGTAAGTCGTTATTGTCAAACAATATTTGAAATTACATTTTTACCCTTATTGATTATTAATTTTCATTAATTATTAAGTTTATATAAGTTAATTAAAATGGTGTGATTTAATTATGTGGTTGAAGATTGCTTGGATGGGAGTTTACCCGGATATCATTTTAGCAAAGGATTCGGTTCTGGCGCACGCAACTGGCTTTTGCAATTTGAGGTAATCCATATTAATTCTACTACAAAGTCTATAATAATGGTGGAAATTTCCATTAACTTCATTTTAGAGATTTTAGCAATACATAGGGTAATATAAATAATTAGCAAACCATAATAATTATTGTATTCATATACATTTATTGAAAAGTGATTTTACTAATACGGCATTATGCATTATGCCTAACAATTAACCTTTAAGTCGAACTAGTCAAAAGTAAATTTTCTATATATACACCTACTCCATATTAGTTTTAAAAAATTGAACACTAAAACTCGCGATTACGAAAAGTTAATTATTTGAAAATTCATTTGGTATTGTAATATTGTATAGGTTGATCCAATAAATTAACACTAGAATGTAGAGATTCTTTGCTTTCTCTTATGTCAAAGTCACTTCTTTGGGTGTTGTTGCAACTTTATTGCAGTTTTTTGGGGCAATCTGAAACGCCATCAAAAGAATTAATTCTCCTGGCTTTTATGTGAAAACAAAGCTAAACAAAATTGTAAAACAAATGTCAAAAAAGAACATTGAGTAGTTAAACCAGTCGTTGCACGCCCACTTGCTTTGTTTCTATCATTTCCGAAGGTCACGGCTTTAGAATTGCTAATAAAGTTTGCTAACATAATTTGCACATTTTGAGCTTCTAACTATAGTCCTATACTCCTATATAATATGCTCCAAACACGGAGTATTATTAACTTCTAGGGAATTTTACTTGCAATGTTAAAAAGGTGGTCATGTTCGTGTATTCGCCTTGGCACAAGGCAATGCCATCCTAATTAGAGGATATTGCGTATCTTACTCTATCATATCAAAGTTTGTATTATTTGGTATATGTTAATGAAAACAACAACTCTATTGTTATCATACTTTCACGGCTAATCCACTAAGTTAGAATTATTTATGAGATTGTCACAAATCAATAAAGTCGATCAGAAAATAATTTAGTTTTGTAGTAGTAACGTGTAAACTTAAACAACTTGGTAATTCATTGTATGATATGGAGAATTCTCCTTCTAGTTGGACTCACTCACACTCAAGAGTCAATGTTCAGTAGACCTTAGATGGACCTACTTGCACGTTAAGGCCAGTTGGCCATGCATGCCCCACCCGTTGAAGAAGAGCAATGCTTAGACACTTTCACAATACCACAAAAGATATATACGATAAATCAACTAATGTAATTTGGATAAGATTTATGAATAATGCAAAATATTATCTAAACAAGAAGTCTTGATTATTGGTACGATCCAGTAAGTCATTAACATATAATTAATATTATTTTGTTAGATATTAATCATATAATTGTATAATTTGTATTATCTAGTGAATGAATAAGATTGTACTTCATTCACTAGATAATACAAATTATACAATTATATGTTATAATTTGCGTGTATTAATTGCACTACTTATCGAATATTGTGGACCCGCCGCCATTGATCCAAAGTTATGGCTGCTGATGGAATAATTGCATTCCTTTGTGGTAAATTGGTAATAAAGGACTAGTCAATTTAATTTTCAAGTTGAAAAATGAGGTTGTCTACGTCTAATGGTCAATAAAAGTAAGTGTAACTGATCAAAATGCACCAATCAAGATCAATAAAGGTTATAATATAATAACTATTGGTGAACAAATTCACTTTCAATTGTAATGATATGGAATTAACTAGAGGTTATATTTTAGGTTAGAGAATATATAATTTCAATAATAATTGAATTCACTACATGAAAGACATACAAAGTTACATCAATGATATAAGGTATAAGGTATTGATGCTATTCTGTACGTTGTTAAGATCTCATATAGTGATATAGTCGATTTAGTTCTTTATGTCCTTGCCTGTAAATAGACCTTCATGAATTATGACTTTTAATTAATTGAATTGATTATTAATCGTGTGATACGTTGTGTCATACGAGTATTGTTGTGTGACAAGCTCGATAAATGATAAGGAACCAATGAACCATGCATAACTTTGTACGTACATGTGATGATGCTAGCTTTGAAAATAAAGATGACTAGCTAAATACATATGATGATGGTTTTGGTAGGGTGGTGGGTGGTGCAATGATGTTGAATCATGCATGGAGAGGGCTAAAACTCGTCGTGGATCCACACACTACATGACTAAGGTGGAAGCCTTTTCTGGGATCCTAAGCAACAATGAATCCCTCAACCCAGGTAGATTCCTATTTCTTTTTTTTTTTTTTTAAAAAAATTACTTTCTTGGTTTTTAAGATATGCTAATTTTCTGTTAGGCACTTTCGGTTAATATTTCTCTCATGGGTCAGCTTTAATTATGATGATCTCATTAGTACTACCAAACTTGTTCATGAAATCATGATGAAATATTGAAATTTAACAAATTGATGCTAGCATGGGATGATGATCTTCATTGAGGTATATAGGGGTTTAAATATATATGAAACAAAAAGAATGTTTCCTAAACTATGAATATATTCACATAGGTTATTAAGTTACTTCAGCTATACTTTTTAACTAGAGATTTATGGTTTAAACCTTGGATTTCTTTACTTTTTGGTCCAAGATCCACCACTGAATACTGGTAATATTTTATTTTTCATTCTACAACAAACCATAGAAAAACAATCTCTTAGGCCCTGGCATTAATTAATGAAGTACAAAATTTTTAGAGGGGCTATAGGCTATATTGGGATATTTTTGACACGGCTGGCCTAGCTCAACACAAGCACACAACCTAGCTTGGACTAGTTGGTGCATTATCTAGTAGTCCACCTAGGCGGGTCATGATGGATCAAACTCCTAGCCCTCCATAACGATCTAAGCATTAATTAACCGGGTCACTAAGCCTAACTAGTGCGGTCCATCCAAGCAAACCCGACTTACCCCTTTGGCCATCTCTATTCATACTCTATGAATCTTTAGAAGGAAGGAAGCTAGCTAGGAAAGAAACTAGATCGAGTAAGAAGTACTCGTACTTGTGCAAGCAAACAATACACGAGAGGACAAAGTGGGATGGCCAAGTTGATACAAACTAACTAGACAAGACAGACTGGAAATTTGTCTAATTATAACAAACAACATGTGCAAAAGGTGACATTAATCACTGTTATATAGTACATGATTTAACTAAATTACTTTGATTGCTTTAAGATGTTCTTGATATTGACTCTGCTGCTACTATAGCATTGGCCATGATTTATGTCCAAAATCTTATTATGACTTGTATGTCAATTTAGGCCAGAAATTCAGTGTAACTTTGTGTGTGTTATAGTTTGTGCCATGTCTATGTTCTGCTCACCACGTTATATCATTTGTCCCTTTGCTAATTTTAGCCTTTTCTATAATAATAATAATAAGTTCAGAAATCAGAACATGAGTTAGATTTGTATAGTACGGAGTATTTAAAAATGAATAATCATCCTCCCTTCTTAATAGTTGTTTATATGTTTACCTAACATGTGGACAAGTTTATTTTAAGATGTTATTAATAGGCGACTTACTAAATTAAGTTGAAATTTAATTTTACTAAACTTGCATGACCACTGAAGTGTGCAGCTGTATTTACTAATATCGATTCATAACAAGCTACCATGTTTGAATCTTTTTATGGAAGAAAATAAAACAAAAATTGTTGTATCGATTGATAAGTTGAGTCATTAAAGCTACATATATTGTAACTCACCATTGGAGATGATTGTAGCTGGAATATGGTGTAGGACATGTGTGATGTTGCAATCAACTCAAGTTACAAGTTGTCTTGCGCGATTATTATTGGAGATTCACTTAGAAATTCAGAACAATTGTAACTGATATTAGATCTAGTTTAGATTGCCTTTAGCTAGGCTATCAAGTACAGGAATCAAAACTGTGGCTTTTTAAACAAAAATAAAGAATTCCATTCTTAAAATAGGACGAGTATTAATTTCCTTAAGGTTACACCCCAAACGAGCTATATTACGAGTGGTATAGGTTTGGAATCATTCAAAATTACGACAACCTCATCAGAACAAGTTAGAACGGAATAGACAAATACAAAGCCTTCAAATGTTTGTTTAAAGAAGAAAGCAGTAATAAAAACAGAAACTCTTCCAAAATGGGGTCAGTGAGGATAATAATTAATAAGGTCCAAATTTGAATGAATCAAACTGTAAATACAAAATTTCATAAAGATCATGTTTCTTTTATAAAAATCAATGGTTCAGAGTTCAGACACAAACATATCTTGGTTACCCCCTTCTTATTACATTATTGACTTTTACTTGCAAGTTATTTTGATATTTTTGGACCTACTAGTACATCATTTTCCACCTCTCTTTGTTTTAGTAGTTAAAATGTCACCCAACTTGAATTCCCTTACACTAAAGTTATTCGTTATCTACATAATTGGACTCTCTATTTTAACACTTTACAGCTTGTTTTAAAATGACTTTTTCCACATTTAAAATTTGTGTTTTTGTGTATCCACATTTCCATATTCTAGTGATTAAACACTTACATATACCATTGAAAAAGTACAAACCCAAGCCATGTATATTATACACACATTTCTCTCCAAATTTCCCCAATTATGCAAGGAAAACATCATATTTCGAATTTACACCTACATATGCCTGATACTATAATAGACGCCTTTGTATTTATGTATGATTAAAATTACTTCGTAGTATTTTAAAAAGAAAAATAATCACCGGCCAAGCTAGAAGAGTCAGTTTAGTTCATGAGTGTCTAGTAGATAAATCTGTATGGTTGTTTTGAGAATCTTTAGGATGAAGTATCAGACAATGGGACCTTTTCTTTTATACTAAACTTGTTTGTTCTGTCTTATGTACGCAAATTGCAAGTATTAAATTATCCTTATATCGTAATAACTTAAAAAAAAAAAAAAAAAACCTATCTTAACAAGATTTACTGATCTAGTTTTGTATGCCTTCCTCAGCTCTGAAGTTGCTATAATATATCAAAAAAAATAATAATTTCGTCATAATAGCTATGTGTTCTCTGCAAAATGCCTGCTGAAAATCTTTTGTTCGAATCAAATCATATTCGTGCAATATGATCATAGTCCATTTTCAATGTTTTACGTGTATATAGGCTAGGTCCTGGTTTAGACATGTTCTATGTGACTATGTGAAAAAATGACCTGAAGCATAGGATGTGAAAGTGATTTAATCTTAAAGATTCTTTGTTTAATTTCGAGCTATTTATAGATTCAAAGTTTGCTTCATATAACATTATTGACAACAGACTTCTACAATTGGAACCGCGTCAAGCTAAGATATTGTGATGGAGCTTCCTTTGCTGGCGATTCCAAGTTTGACAATGGGGTATACATACTTCACTTAATGGCTTGGTCTGATCTGTTTTTAGGACCAGTCTTGTGTGGGTTTCAGAATTACAGTAAACAATTATCTGTTCTATTTCTCTAATTGTGTATGTTAACATTGGACAGACCTCAGTGCTTTACTTTAGAGGGCAAAAAATATGGCAGGCAATGATTCTTGATCTTCTTCCAAAAGGGTTGGCACATGCAGAGAAGGTAATTTTCTATGATAATATCATGAAATCAAATTGTAAAAAGCTTCTTAATGCCTTTGCAAAAATCATAGGCATATATATGACATCTGTTCGTACTCTGCAGGCTTTGCTTTCTGGTTGCTCTGCAGGGGGGTTAGCAGTGTTCCTGCACTGTGACAACTTATCCAGGTTTCTACCAAGAAATACTACTGTCAAATGTCTGAGTGATGCCGGTTTTTTCTTGGACATGTACGTCCACTCTTTTAATTTGCTCGTGTCCTACAAAGTTTCGCTTATGGTTTTCCAAATTTTGACCTGTCATTGTTCTTGCAGAAAAGATGTAGCCATGCATGACACGATTAGGTCCTTATACCATGGTGTTGTTACACTGCAAGGAGTAGAGCAGAATCTCGACAAAAATTGCACCAGTTCTCTAGTCGATCCTAAGCTAGTATGATAATGCAAACTGCTTATATATTCACCTGATAATTTGCTTTTGAGCACATTATAAGGCTCTGGACTGACATGTTTCTCTATCTTGTTTCAGTGCTTCTTTCCACAACATGTCCTAAGTTACATTAAAACTCCCATTTTTATCTTAAACACTGCATATGATATGTGGCAGGTATTTGTTATTTTCTACTTCTTTTAGCTCCTGCATTTCTTAGATTTATTAAACTCAGGTACTAATGATTCTAATCTACTTTGGCAGTTCCATAATATCTTGGTACCATCTTCGGCTGATCAGAGAAAAGAATGGAAGTATTGCAAGTATAATGTATCAACTTGTACTGACAGTCAAATTCAGAAACTACAAGGTATAAATCAAAGTGCTATCTTTAGGCTATGATGCAAAAACCATCTAAATCATGGACTTAAAATTCGAAACCTGTGTTTCAGATTTTCGACAGGAAATGCTCGAGGCTTCATACTCTTTCTATACACATTCAACTAGTGGAGGAATGTTTATCAATTCATGCTTTGCACATTGCCAAAGTGAACAACAGGAAACTTGGTTCGCTGCTGACTCCCCTAGATTGCATAAGAAGGTACTTGTATTTTTAACATATGAATTCTGATTGTTAGTACATTGTTTAACTACAGAGAAAATGTTATTAGTTGAGATTGTGGATCATGCTACATGTATATACTCCCCTTTTGTCATAGAGTATTTAAGGATCATGCATTCACGCTATATATACTAACATTGCTGCTTATTAAAGTATCATTTTGCGTGTTTTAGTTTGTATATGTTTCACTCCTTGAAGCTCAACTAGCCCAACTATTAATAGTACTTTGCATATCCTGCAGACCATTGCAGAGGCTGTTGGCGATTGGTATTTTGAACGAAACGAGACAAAGCTGATCGATTGTCCATATCCTTGTGATTCTTCCTGTCATAATATTATACCTGCATAGACTAATATACTCTGGGAATCATCATAGGACTTGGAAAATTTATATAGCTGAAGATTACATAGCCCGATTCAATATACAAAAGTTTGATTTATTTTTCTGATACAGAATAGATGAAGTAATTCTTTGGTGTACACATTCCTGTAAGATAAATTAACTTGTACCCATTTCTTAAGATATTCAATCACAATTCTTCTAGTTCATTCTTATACTTCAATGTTATTATACCTGTTTATCAGATCTATCTGTTTCGCAACTAAAGACTTCTTCGTAAAGATCTATTTGTATTTTGTACCCATATCACTAGTGAATTGCGTTGGATTCTTTTGTGTACCGATTTGAACGAATTGAATATAAATGGCATGGCATGTATACTAAACATATAGTGTTACAAGTTCCAACTCCCAAGTTGAGCAAAGTACTAGTGAAGGCTTCAAATAATGCAAGAAATGCATTTATTTATCTGATGCTATTAAGGATACTCTTAGATAGATTCTATTCCACAAGCAATATACACGGTTATCTTGCATTCATCAGTCTATCTTTTGATTTTACTTTGATAAATTCTAGCAGAATATATTCTTTTATTTTGTTTGTGCCGTACTTTCTGCCTAGAATAATTTGCTTTCGTTGTTATTCTCATGTACAGATGTTGTACGATTTAGTCTTGTTAGTTTGAATACAAAGTACTTACTCTAAACCCCCCCCCCCCCCTTTTAAATGTCTCAAAAAATCACATTATATATTATTGATAACTATGATAAATCAAGTTAAATTAGGCTAAATAGACCCATTAGCTTATAAATTTCACATGGCTTATATACCGCGCTATCAATATTATTATTGGACATAGAGTTGTATTCTCCATTGCATCACTGTTTAAGGTCCTACTCATTAAAATAAGACTAATTAAGAAAAACTTGATGCGGAATCAATCATCTAATATGGTGAAGATTGATAGTGTGTTTTTTACAACCTAATCTTTCACTTGAAATTTTTAGGCTTTAAAAGTTTTAGTTATTAGGATCTTTCTTTGTTTAATGAGTTATTCGATTTTATATTATGATAATATTAGTAGGTGGTTACAAGACTAAGAAATAAATTAAAATTAAGGCATGTTCTCATTTACTGAACTGAACGAACATTTAACATTTTATGAGGGAAGAAAATTAGGAATTGAACTGAGCTGATCTAAAAATAAGCTGAAGAGAACATGCTCGTAAAATACTTAATAATCTACCTTAAGATCATGATTATTGAACGTTTTTCCAATTTGAGCTCTAAACGTAAACTAATGACAAAAATGGTTGCGTGGCAAAACTATTTACCAAACTAAGCTTCCAGGGTAAATCGCTGTCTCGGACAGCGTTTTACCCCTGGTTTTTTTTTTAAAAAAAATTCAACTGGTAAACGCTGTCCCAGACAGCGTTTTACCTTCTGTATTTTTTTAAAATTCAGTAGGGCATAAAACGCTGTCTCGGACAGCGTTTTATCCTTGGGTTTTTTTAAAAAAAAATTCAATGGGTAAAACGCTGTCCGAGACAGCGTTTTATGCCCTGTTTTTTTTTTTTAAATGAAACGCTGTCCGGGACAGCGTTTCATGGCCATATATCAGCATGTTCACTTCAGCAGAATGCGCAAGAACTCAACCTCAACCTCAACGCTTTCCCTCCTCCCTCTCACACTAAACCACGACCGTACTCAAACACCCGCATTGCCGCCGCCGCCCACCCTTGCGCCACCGCTGCTGCCCTCCTCCCTCTCACACTCACTCACCACCATCCACACATTACCATCCAGCATATGACATCATTAGCGGATATGTGAGTTATTATTTTTCTACTCCTTTTCAACAATTTCCATATTTGTATGCCATAGATCTGACTGATCGATGATTACTGCAGGCGGCGGATATGGTGGCGATGGTTGATGCGCTATCAGTCTCCCTTGAGTGCGGACCCACTAGAGCCCAGGTCGAGCAGGTGCGAGATATGGGCGTCGCTACCTTACGGAGATATGGTCACGCTCATCTCGCCCACCGGCGGGACGGTCATGATGGAAACTCACAGTTCGATCTCGGCCAGAGCAGCGGTGGATGTGATCCTACGTCACCCAGACACGCAGAGGATTACAACATCCACAGTACTGCGCCCTCTGGTACCCAGGAGGACCCCTCGTCCAGTCAGCTGACTCCCCCACCGCCCCGAGACCCATTCACCACCGTCACTCATTACAGGCGGCGACGTGTCAGACGGAGGGCCGACACTCAGGAGGCAGGACCTTTACCCCGAATAAATGAGTCGGGCTAGTATTATCTGTTGTATTCCCTGTTATTTTGTGTAATGATGTACATAACACTTATGAAATTAATATAATAAATTTTTTTTGAATGACTCCGTGTGTGCTTTGAAGTTAATTTGGTGGTTGGACTGTTGTTGGGCTGTTTCGAGTTTTCTGCAGTGCTTAAAGTTGACGGAACTCCCAGAATATGGTGGTGGTACGTGGTGGGGAGTGGCGGAGTTGGTGGTCGACGGTGGTGGGGTAGGGCTGTGGAGCTGGCTGTTGTGGTGGCTGTTGGAGGACTGCAGCATGCAAGCTGTTTGCTGAAGCTTGTTTTCTGCCTGGATGCTGGTTGCTGTTTCCAGCAGAAAAGCGCTGTCTGAGACAGCGCTTTATGTTCAAGCATAAAGCGCTGTCTGAGACAGCGTTTTATATTCAAGCATAAAGCGCTGTCTGAGACAGCGCTTTATGTTGAACATATAAAATAGTTGTAGTTGAATTTTTTTTTAAAAAAAAACCAGGGGTAAAACGCTGTCCGAGACAGCGATTTACCCTGGAAGCTTAGTTTGGTAAATAGTTTTGCCACGCAACCATTTTTGTCATTAGTTTACGTTTAGAGCTCAAATTGGAAAAACGTTCATGATTATTAGGTTATGTTTTTTTTTGTAGGAATGACCGAATGAATAGGTTGACGTTGCTTGTAACCCGAATTGAGCAAGAGTAGCCAAAACCAAAATTGCAACTTGAACATCCAAAGCCCAAAAAGACCATTTTAGAAACACAAATGACACACACAAAAGGACAAATTCATAATTTCACACATCTCAAGACCAAAAAAACTCAATCCAAAAAAAAAAGGAAAAATCATCTAATTGGCTAATCCAGCTTTAGGTGGCGTTTACCACCATCCAGCACCTGTCACCACCCTGAAAACCACTACTAACCACCCCACCAAAATTACCAAACCACCCTTCCACCATAAATGCAAAATCAATCATGGCTGACTTGTACTCCCACTATTTTCACTACCTCTACTCGTAGTAAACTATCACAAACTCCTCCTCCCTTAAAATCTCCACCATTTTCAGAATCAAAACCCAGAAATTTAGGAGAGAGAAAATTCAACAACACTAGAATTTTTAGGGCAATGCCTGCTTCTTGTTCGTCCTCCATTGAAGCAGCCTCTGGTGGCAATCTTCGTAATTATAAGCATACTCAGGCCTCTTTTCTTGCTTCTCTCATGCCCAAACGTGAGATCGCCGCCGATAAGTTTCTCGACGCTAATCCTCAATACGACGGTCGCGGCGTCCTTATTGCTATTTTCGGTATTTCTTCTTCTACTATTTTCCGTCTCCTCTTTTTTTTTTCGATTGAATTTTTGATGCATGAAGATTTGATTATACTAAGTACTTGATTATCAAATGATGATTGATCATGTCATTTGATTTATAATAAATTTATTTGGTTGCTTTTTAAGTAAAATGATGATTTATTTTAAAAAAAATTTCGGATTGCTGAAATATGAAATCATTAACTGTTTTATTTATTTATTTATTTATTTTTTTTAGAAAGTTGATTATGATTTGGAGAAGGAAAATAATTGAAATTCTATTGCTAATTATTGTATTACTGTTTACTCTTACAATAAGAGTGTGTTGTGTTCTGTTTGCCGCATTTTTACTTATGTGAACTTATTTGATCTAACTTGAACTGATCCGAAGTTATTAGAACTAATTTTAGTTGTAAATTGAAATTGGTGAACTAATTTCAACTTTATCAACCTAATTTTTGTGAATAAGTGGAAGTGCAAGGAACTAAGTACTACTATTAATACAACCCCTCACACAATTAAGCTCAAGTTTTTTATTGTATCTACTACCTAGTAGAAAGAGGAAAAATGTCTAATCGTTGCAAATAATTTGAAACGGAGGTAGTATTTATGTATAGTTAAAATCTGCATTTCATGTTTGATATGCCGTCAGAAATTGGAATTAAGTACTACTATTATCACCACTCTCTTGCAATTAAGGATATGTGATGAATTTACTATGAGTACAACTATTATTGTTGAACCATTCTTACACTGTACATGTTGTTCGGTTAAGTAGGAGGCATTTGGAAAGTTTAGTTATAAGCCATTGCAAATCTAAAAAGGAGATAAAAGTAACTTTTTTGGACATCCCAAAATAGTATTCCTTCCGTCTTTGTTTAAAAACTCTACTTAGATGTCATTTCTTGGAAACTAACTAGAAGTCTAGAAATATCAGGTGCTATTCTAAGAGTAAGCATCTTATTATAAACCTATGGACCGTACCTTGTGAAAAATGTACTATGTAAGCGTAATATTGTTTTAAATTGATATGAATAGTATGGGACTTCCAAATAGAAAGGAGCTTATTAAATTGGGATGGAAGGAGTATATTTGACTTTATTCTTGGACGGAGTATCTGTGAAGTTTGTGGTGGTTTTGTTTTTTATTACATGACATTCCATAGCTTTCCAATCACGATGCAAATTGAGTAATTGCCAATTATTGGTGTAGGTTTGTAGTCAGGACTCAGGAGTGCAGGAATTGGTTATAATTAAATTATCTGCTTGATTACTGCCATTTTCATTTATTGATATTGAATTATTGTCTATGTCTCTATGATTAGATTCGGGGGTGGATCCGGCTGCTGCTGCGTTACAAGTAACTTCGGATGGGAAGCCAAAGGTTCTAGATGTCCTTGACTGGTATATCTAATTTCTCATAATGTGAATGAGGATATATTTATAGTGGTTTTCTTTTCCCCTTTTGTTTCACTTTTTGCTTTTTGTGACTTTCTAATACAACTAAAGTTAGGGCAGTAAGTGAGAGGCTAAGGTTGGCACTGTTGCCAATATTTGAGAATTTGAGTGCTATGTATTTAGTTGATTTCATTTGTTGTGGCGATTCTGTTCTTAAATATTCAACAGGTTTTTATTATATTTAATAAAAATTTACAAAATTAAAAAAAAAATGATGATAATTTGCATTTTTCTTTTTGGAATGTAGCTAATGAAATGTACATTTTCTTTACATAATTTTAGTACTGGTAGCGGGGATGTTGACACATCAACTGTGGTAAAGGCTGACGCAGATGGCTGTATTTGCGGAGCTTCAGGTTGGCTATTTTGCGATACTATCAAATAGGTTCTGGTTGGCTAATGTGTGTAATTCATTCACTCCTTTAATATGTACTGGTTAAAATAACATATTTGTGGATTGTAGTCATTGTACCAACGGGTTTTAATCCTAGTGTGTGTATGTACACGTGCACTTGTGTGTTTTGAAGAAAAGAAACCACATTGTCATTCTAATCAGACATAGCATACATTAGCTCAATTTCTCTACGTGACATTTGCCTTGTGGATTGTTCATGGACAGTGCATCCTTCTATTGTTTGGACGGATGACTTCAAAGTTGTGAACAACACTCAAGATATTTTGGGGCACAAGACATTGTGCTTTGATCATGTGATAATGGTGCAAATACATGAGCTTGTAGCATTTTCTTAACCTTGTAGAAAATATACGAAGTACAAATTAGTTTTGTAATGCAACGATTTATATTTTTTTTTGCTTGTGGATAGATCTGAAACTTCAATATCTTTTATTCTAGTTTCCACATCATTTCAATGGTTACATTGATATTGATTGTATCAATTTATTTTCTGTTCTAGAATTTAAAGATATTTCAAATTGTCAGAAAATTCTCGGCCTTTTTTTAAAAAAATTCTTTTTCATCATCCTAGTCATCCCCTCCTTTTCCAGCTGGTAATCATGTATCTTAAGTTCTATTTATCACAAATTGGTTTAATTATCTATTATATAAAGCTATTGTGTGACTACAGTATATCATAGGCTTCACAATGTCACTTAGGTTCGTTGCTACCATGAACTGTCCCACATCCAGCAAGGATGGATCGTGTGTTGAAGTCTTTGGATTCAATTAGTCTCTTTTATGATGAAATATTCAATTTCTCTTATTCTGGTGGAAATATAATAGGAGCACCATTGGTTGTGAATTCCTCGTGGAAAAATCCTTCTGGGGAGTGGCATGTGGGTTATAAACTGGTTTACGAGCTATTTACTAAAGATCTGACGTCCCGTCTGAAGGTAGTTGCCTATTGAAACTTTTTCCCAATTTTTTTGGAATGATAAATTTTTTATTTTTCTGACCGCAGAGAACATTTATTCTAAAAGCATTTCTGTTGTGGACAGAAAGAGAGAAGGAAACAATGGGATGAATTAAATCAGGAAGCGATCTCTGATGCAGTAGAGAAACTCTCAGAATTTGACCAGGTTCTTTCGTTAGACATGCTTTATTCTTGAAAGAGGATTGGTCTGTAGTTGTTACGCCCTGCGTATGTTTCTCTTATCTTGACAGGGCTGTAGTCTGCGGAGGCTCTTATTTTTGTATCAAAGATGATAAACAGCTGTCCATTACTTCAGTTGGCACATAACACCACCCCACCCCCACCCCCCCCCCCCCCCCCCCCCAAAAAAAAAAAAAAAAAAAAAATCAAAAAAAAGAGCATGGTATTTTCTTAGTTACATTTCCTTCCATGGAAAATCATTTTGTGTTTGTGTCATTTTATTTCCATATGCTTTGATTTTTGGATACTGATTTATTTCATATGTCATTTTAAAATCCATTTGGGGATTCTCACAGCTATCTAAGTTTGCTTCCAAAAGCTATTGTGACATTTTGAAACCTATGATAAACTGTAGTCAATCAGCTATATAAATTTCATTTACTGAGATGCGTTTAGTTCTTCTGTGCTTTCATCCTCTTCTCTATTGCAAGTTTGAGTTTGGAGTTGTGTGTAAGTTAGCTTCTCAAAGCTCTTATTGCAGAAACATGCTAAGGTGGAAGATCCACACCTAAAACGGTTGCGTGAAGACCTCCAGAACAGGGTAGACTTACTACAAAAGCAAGCTAATGTAAGTATAAGGTCTCTTAGGTTTTTTTTTTTTTTTTTTTTTTTTTTTTTTTTTTTTTTTTAATTTTATGTTCAATCATGACATTTTCATTTTAACTTGACATTTATGGTCCAGAGCTACGATGACAAAGGACCTGTTATTGATGCTGTTGTATGGAATGATGGGGAGTTTTGGAGGGTTGCTCTTGACACTCAAAGTCTTGAGGATGAACCAGGCAAGGGAAAACTTGCAGATTTTGTTCCCCTCACTAACTACAGGTCAGGATTTAAAAGATTTTCCTGTCATATTGTATTCTTTTTCCTATGAAGAAAAAGTAATTATCACAAAAGAAGAGTGTGTCAAAAACTGACCCTTTTTATAGGTTAGTTTGCTATCAAGAATTTAGAATCTGGACTTATATTTGACTTATTAACCAACACATCTACTTCTAGTGTGCTTTATCTTTTATCCTCACTTATGTAAGTGTCTGATTATTTTTATATGCTGTCTTCTTTCGGGGTTGTGTAGATTCTGCTTATTGTTTGTTGTGTTGACGTTATTGGCAATTTGCTAGTAGTTGCTCTATTCAATCCTCAGTAGTAGTAGTAGTAGTAGTATTAGTATTGGTCTGATATGATTATATCATGTGTTCTAACCACATTAAGAGGGCCAGGAGTCTTCTAATAGAAAGCTGATAAAAAGTATCTTGCCCCGAGTCCGGATTTTTATTTTATTTTATTTTTATTTTGCGTGTGTGTGTAAAGTAACACACATTGAAGGAGCAAAAACCACTGCTCTATCCTGCTAAACCTCCAACCCTGAAATTATTATCATTCTTATAGCTATCAAAGTTTATATCTCTATGTTACTGATGATATGACAGGATTGAAAGGAAATATGGCATATTCAGCAAACTAGATGCTTGTTCATTTGTGACTAATGTGTTTGAAGAAGGGAATGTTTTAAGCATTGTAACTGATTGCTCCCCTCATGGAACTCATGTTGCTGGGATTGCCACTGCTTATCATCCCCAGGTTGTGTCCTTTTTCTATTTCATTAGTATCACTTGCATTTCATCATCTAATAGCAACGTGAAATTTGGCTATCTATAGGAGCCCTTGTTAAGCGGAGTTGCACCTGGAGCTCAGATAATTTCCTGTAAAATTGGTGACGCTCGCTTAGGTTCAATGGAGACAGGGACAGGTTTAACCCGAGCTCTAATTGCAGCTGTGGAGGTGAGCTTCTATAGCTTGTGTTCTGCATTTTTGATTAATAAAAAAAAAAAAAAAAAGTTATATATATAATGAGTAGCTAGATAAATTTTCTTGTTTCTTCTCTAGCTTACTCATTTGATGGACAAATTGTTGTTATTCATTATAATTGCATATTGTTGTATTCCCTTTTCATTTTTTGGGTGGATCAAGAGAGTACTCTGGGAGAAGTATAATTAAATCCTGTGTTTGTATTGTTTCTATTTCACATAGAGATGGGGACTCTCTTTAAAATTAGGAATTACTTAGCCGTTTTTTCTTTCTGGCTGTAAATTTCTGCTGCATTTAATCTTTTTGATAGTATCAATGACTTTCCATTTGGTTCCTTGCAGCATAAATGTGATCTTATCAACATGAGCTATGGTGAAGCTTCTTTACTGCCAGATTATGGTCGCTTTGTCGATCTAGTTAATGAGGTTATTTTACTACCTATTGCTATTTGATACTATGTTTTTCCAATTCGTCTGTTCTTTATTAAGAATTTCAGCTGCCATTAATCAACATATATCTCTGACATATATATTCTCTCTTCTGATGAAGTGTGATGCCCTTGTTTGCTAATCTAGGCTGTCAATAAGCATCACTTGGTATTTATCAGTAGTGCTGGAAATGAGGGGCCAGCTTTGAGCACTGTAGGAGCACCTGGGGGAACCACATCAAGCATAATTGGAATCGGTGCTTATGTTTCTCCTGCTATGGCAGCTGGAGCTCATTGTGTTGTTGAACCTCCGAATGAAGGGCTGGAGTACACATGGTATGATCCAATGATTACATGCACTTTCCTAAAATAGCTGTAATTCTGTAAATGTATTGTGTCTGATGTCAACAACATGAATGATCTGTAATTGTTCGGATATATTGTAAATGAAGTATTTAAAGGTATGATTGGATGAATGTGATCCAGGTCTAGTCGGGGGCCAACTGCAGATGGAGATCTTGGTGTGTCTGTAAGTGCTCCAGGAGGGGCTGTAGCTCCTGTTCCAACATGGACCCTTCAGTGCCGAATGCTCATGAATGGAACATCAATGTCATCTCCTTGTGCATGTGGTGGAGTTGCATTACTCATCAGCGCAATGAAGGTCCCTAGCACGCATTAGTTAGCTTACTAGTCATTTTGCGAGGGTTTGTTTACCACTTTACTAATTTCTCCTTGAATATTCTGCTGTCTTCAGGCCGAGGGCATTCACGTTAGTCCATATGATGTGAGGAAAGCTATTGAAAATACATGTGCTCCCATAAGTAGTTCACCAGAGGAGAGACTAACCACAGGGATGGGGCTTATGCAAGTTGACAAGTTAGTGTCTCCAGCATATATCTGCGATTTTTATTAATTATAGTTAATGCTATGAACTCAAATATGTATTACAAATTTCTTTTTCTTCAGGGCATTGGAATATGTTAGACAATTGAGTGACATTCCCTCTGTTTGGTATGAAGTTAAAGTCAATTTATCTGGAAAGTCAAGTAAGTCTCCTTATTATTTCTTCCCAATTTTTTGCTCCTTCAAAAGTTTGCGAATTAATCTATCCCACATTTTAAAAGGACTGTGATAAGTTATACAAAGTATTAAATATGTGACATTTACTTATCTTCAATTTTTTTATTCATTAATCTGGCAATCATTTTATTCATTAATCTGGGAATTATTTAACAATCTTGAGATTAATTTATTGACTTCTAAGAAGGTCTAAAATTTTATGAAAAAAAGTTTAATTTGTATGAAAGCTAAAACTAGAAATTACTAGTTTGTCCAAATCGTTGAAGGTCTGGTGCATAAGACATAGTCTGAGGTTATCTCCTTGTCCTATCAAAGTTTGACGTGGGTTGTTTTCTTGAATTTAAAACCTCCCCTTTTTAATTAGATGTATTACATGTATATATATATAGCTGTTCGACCGACTTTTACTATTAGGGTTGAGTTTCTTTTTGCTCCCACCTACAATACATGCCTGCGTCACTCTTGTCACAAATTACAATGTATTCTTTTGTCTTTTTTCCGCTGTATGCTTGGCACCACTGATTGCATCACCACATTCACCAGTTCGCCACTCCTTGATAATGCACGTACTCTTCTAGGGGCCATGAAGCCTTGACAAGCACAATACAAGTCCTTGAATGTTGTGCCTACAATAATTAATGCGACTCCAACCAAACTTTGGAAGAACAAGAGTGTTTGATTTGTTGGTGTATTGTTATTTCTCTCTTTCTGGTGCTAAATATATCTAGGCGCCTTCCATTGACTTATCAAAAGTTTAATTTATGCGTCTGATTTTTTGGAAGTTCATTTGCTTTGTCACTGATACCACCTGACAAACCATGCCAGCTCTTCATTTCCATGCATTACTAATCCAACTGCCTACTAATTAGCATGTATGACACATGCACTTGATAGATTACAATTTATTTGTAATTTAACTGTTAACAACTTTTTTGGTTTTGTTATATTTATGGTAACTTCTGTGCTGGTTAAGTAATATATTCGCTATACTTCAGTTTGTACCAAAAGCCTAATTTCACCTTTTTAGACTGAAGCATAACTAGAATAAGTGGCGGGATGTATTTATGTTTGCAGTGACTAAAGCATGGCTGGGTACTGTGATTGGCTTTGTGATGCTAAACTTTTGATATCTGTACATGTCCTTCACTTCTTATGCATTATCCACAATTTCTTGCAGCACCCACATATCGAGGTGTCTACTTGAGAGAGGCTAGTGCTTGCCAACAGGCTGCAGAGGTGAGCAAAAATGGACTAGAGTTGTAGTTTGATGGGCTTTTTAATTGACATGATCATCACTCTGGTATATGTTATAATTTTCACCACCTTGCATGAATCTTGCCTTTGGCTGGTCTAATGCTATTATCAGTTTAGTTTCATATTGGGTTTAAAATCTGGGGTATCTGGATATGCCAGGCCTGAGATGTAATGAGACGCCAACTTCATTGCCTGGGATGCAGTGAGGACAATGTGGCTTCTTCTTCTTCTTCTTCTTCTTCTTCTTCTTCTTCTGTTGATTAAACTCTTATTACACTTAAAACTGTTGATTAAACTCTTATTACACTTAAAAATTTACTCCTTTGATTAATTGTAGAATATGATAAGGTAACTCAATTTTAATATTGTTTTTTTTTTTTTTTTTTTTTTTTTTTTTTTTTTTTTTTTTTGTGTGTGTGTGTGTGTGTGTGTGTGTTATTGATTATGTGGGACACCCCAAAATGAATAAGTGACAAAAATTGGTTAGAGTTTTATTATAGTGGTCAGCTTGTGTTTCTTACTCTATTAATCACCAAATTGCTAATAGCTATTTTATTATTTAATGCATCCCAGTGGAATAGACTTTTCCTAGCTAGCTTGGATTATTCCAAATGTATTGGCATGTTTCAGACTTATAATCTCTACAGTTAATTTGCATATGCTTAACTTAGGATCTAATACCGTGCTCTTAACAGTGGACAGTTCAAGTTGCTCCGAAATTTCACGAAGATGCGAGTAAGTTAGATGATTTAGTTCCCTTTGAGGAGTGTATTGAGTTGCATTCCAGCGACACTACCGTTGTCAGGGCTCCAGAGTATCTTTTCCTAACTCATAATGGGCGTAGTTTCAAGTTAGTGTCTATCTTCATCCTTGGATCTCTCCTCCCCCTTGGGTTCCTTTTTATCCTCTTCTTTCACTTCAGTTTCTTGTATAACTGCCAACTTTGTTTTGTTATAATAGTGATTTTCCCCCTTCCTTTCTATTGCATCTATGCATTATAAACATTTAGAGTTTCTGAGACATACCTCTCTGTGTTATTATTTTATTGATATGAGCTTAAGTTGTATTCTGCTGTGGTATATGTTTGTAGGTCAAGAGTTGAAGAATATTTGGACAAGAAAGTGTTGGGTTTACAAATAGAGGTTTTGAAAAGAGTTCTAGAGTAGTATTCATTTAGAGGTTTTCGTCAAGTTGATGTTGATTGAAAAATGTCACGCTTTTATTGGAAGCATCAGCCATTGAAATTGTGCAGTTGGGTTATTTTTTAGCTTAATTTATTTGAATTTTAAAAAGAGCTGCTTTACCTCTTTAGTAGCTATCTAGCCGGTGTGTGTGTGTGCAAGTGTGAGATTTGAAATTTTAAATAGAGCTGTGTTTTTTTTTTTTTTTTTTCGGTTTGTGGGGCAGGGGTTGACTTGTGTAGCCTAATGAAAGGCTAGGTTACAGAATGAGCTCCTTGCCCTTCAAATTTCTTGTGGATTATTTTGTTCTATTGTTATCAGCCAGCTCATCTTTATTTACTCTTAAGCTTTATGCATTTGTTATCAGTGTGATTCTACTACTATGTTTGTAAGCTGGAATATCTTTTTTCCTACAGTGTAATTGTTGATCCCACAAATCTTGAAAGTGGGTTACATTATTATGAAGTCTATGGAATTGATAGCAAAGCACCTTGGCGTGGGCCTCTTTTCAGAATTCCAGTGACTATTACAAAGCCTATGGCTGTGGTGAATAGTCCACCACTGATTTCTTTTGCAGGCATGCAATTTTGTCCAGGTATCGTTTTCTCTTCATTCTCGTTTTCCCTGCCCATCCTTGGTTACCTGTCAAAATTCTCTCTCTTGTGCTAGTGCTTGAGCTGGTCAAACATTATTTTCCTGTGGTATTAGCATTTGATTTGTTGAAGTCAATTGACTGCATCTTACAGATGCACAATATAGAATCTGAACAAGACTTTTTTTTTTTTTTTTTTTAATTTATAAACTCGAATGTATTCTTAATACAACCAGGCGCAGGTTTTGCAGCTTTATCACGAAAGTAATCTAGATGACCAGTTGTAGCCAATTATTTGTTTATATCTTGTAATCTCATGCTGTGATTTGGTTTGGGATTCATTGTATAAGAAAGCTATCCAAAAGCTGCACCAAAGATACTGAGTTGATATTAGCTGGCTTAAGCAAATTGGAAAAAATCTTGGCTAAAATACGCGCGTTGTTGACCCTTTACATAGGTGGTAATTAAAGGGGAGTTATGGTACTAAGTTTGTATGATTTAATCATTACCAGTTTAGGGTAAAGTTGCATTACCATTGATAGCTTGAGGCATATCTTGCAAAGTAACATTCAACTAGATGACAATAACATCATCAACATTAGAATAATCCCTAGATCATTTAAATAAGAACTTGAGTGACATTTTGGAAGTTATCATTATTGCAATAATCTGGATGCAGGGTCAACTAGGATTGATTTTGAGTCAAACAATCTGGCAAGTTACTTGTGAATAGTTGTGAGCAGGATTGAATTGAGTTTTTAATTGAAAATGAATTGAGTCGAACTTGACTTGTTGTTTTTACAAAACTTGAATTGCTTTGTTGTCTTCCCTTGCCAACCATTATCTCTTAGTTGCTCAATCTACACCATAAACTTATAAGAAGCTGATAATAAGAAATTCTGACAACCAATTCTATTTCCTTATAAGCAGGTTATCTATGAGTGAATATTTCATTTTTGTAAAGGGAGATCGAAGTGTTGTCTTTCGGTTCTTTTCCCCTTTACTTAGATGGGTTGAATGATTTGTTGAAGGTGCTTGAAAGGATTTTAATTGTGTATCATCCCTCTAGCCCAATGTATTGCTTCTTCAATTTTTGTGGATGTCCCGAAGTTAGTTGATGTCTGTAAATGAATGTCTTTGAGCTTATTGAGCCTGCCTCTTGTACTATGTACTCTAAACTATATGATAATTCATGCGTTTGTGTATTCCTTTATGTTTGCCTTCTTATAAAGTCGGTCGTAAGTTAGGGGCTAGAATATTGAGATAAAGGAAGTACTTTATTAGAGGGACAATTATGAGGTGCAAAGACTTGTGGTAGGATGCTTAGTTGGGATATTGAGGAAAGTATGCTTCAAAATTGAGTTATATCACATCAAGTTGGGATTGTTTTCTGTTTGTTGTGATTTTTGAATGAGTTTTTTTAGAATAATTATGGGCAATGTACCTGTTACCAATTGTGTGTATTTACCTTCAAATTTTAAGCAACAAGTTCACACTAAGGGCCATATGTTGGAGGACTTCTGTAGGTTTCAGATTGTATTAAGACAAAGACAAAGTATCCAGGAGTGAGTACTGTGGTTTTTAATGTGTTGTAAACTTCATGGGAGTACCAAAGAAAAGTTCACTGAAAAGGACTGCTTTATCATGAAGAGTGTTCACTACTTAAGCAGGTGCTGGCATATACAGGAGTTTCATTAACATAGAGGTGGCAAAGATGTCTATTTCTGTTACTACTAGATTTTCTTTATCTTCTTTTTTATGTACTTTTTGGAGTCTTTTGACTAGTGTCTGCTTTATGACATGGTTAAGGTAAGAATATGTACATGTTGCTCTTCCTAGACTTAGCAGTAACTCACATAGTCACATGTAGGTGGTGATTCACTGATTTCCATTGTGTGTTAATACTCCATATCTTTCTTGATGGAAATAATAATTTGGTGGATGCAACTTTATTATCCCTTCTACATGTGCATGAAGCTTTTCAAACACTTCTGCATCCTTTTAACTCTTTATTTGTATTTTCTTTTCACATTTCGCTAGGTCATATAGAGCGGAAATATATTGAAGTACCACATGGTGCTACGTGGATTGAGGCAACTATGCGTACATCTGGATTTGATACATCTCGTAGATTTTTTGTTGATGCTGTACAGGTTTGGAGAAATGGTGTCTGAACTATTTGGTCTGTGTCCTTTTTCGGAATCCAAAAACCTATTTGTAATTTATATCTGGTTCAATGTGTTTGCAGCTTTCTCCCTTGAAAAGATATATGAAAACAGAGAGTGTGGTCACATTCTCATCTCCATCAGCTCAGACATTTTCCTTTGCTGTAGAGGGTGGCAAGACAATTGAATTGGCTATAGCTCAATTTTGGTCTAGTGGAACAGGAAGTCAGGAATTAACAACTGTGGACTTTGAGGTACAATAACTATTATTCTTATCTTTTCAAGTACTATAGTATTTATGTTTTAAAATTTCTTCCTGGACCTTGGCATTCATTCTCAAGATTATACCTTGATTATTGCCTATGAATACATTATGTAAACAAGTCAAGTTGTAATCATTTTTGTGAGGTATTATCGATTTTGGTCATATGGAATATGCAGGTACTACCAGAGATTGAATATGTGCTTGAAACAGCCAACTCCACTGGAGTACCCTCACTCTTCCTATCCTCATCTCATGTTTATGAAAGAGATAGATTGACCATCTCCAAATAAAGTACTCCCAGCAAAAATAACTCATACCAATCGCCCAAATTTGATCTTAATTGTTCCCAAAACAAGATAACCCAAATTTCAAGACTTTATTTGGTTAACAGTGGATTGATCACTGATATCTTCTAATTATTGTGTTTGGTAGTGAGCGGTTTCAAACTGTGGATTGGCTCCAAAATGCTTATTTGAAACCACTGGTTAGAGCAGCACTTCAATTAGTGTGTGAACTTTGAGAATTGAAAAGACAATTGTACTCCTTCCTCCAACTTGGATACTACCCTGACTCTCGCTACTCTCACTAATCTCCTTATCCTCCATCTATAATTTATCCTCATATTTTATCTAAATAAAAAACTTATGGTAGTGTATTCCTCAAACCTTTTGTTTCTGGTGAACTCCATGAAACTTGAAAGATTGCTCACCAAAATGAGGGGAGCAGTATTCTCTACCTCCGTCAGAATTTCGTATCAAGAATATGCATGCATGTGACATTTCTCAATTTGATAATCCAAGTTTTGCTCATAAGGGTCCTTATCTCAGCATAAAAAGTAAAAAGCTTTGGCAGAGCTGCAAAAACACCATAAATTTTTTTTAAAAAATGATAATTAAAAAAAAAAATTGAAATTAAATGTAAATATCAAGATGGACAGGTCTAACCTTTAGCTGTATGCTTTCCCATAACATCAAATTGTTTTGGTGATGTCTTAGTATTATCATCCTGGATAACACTTTTCTGTTGATGCAAATGCGCAGATTGCATTTCATGGTTTCAAAATTAAAAATGAGGAAATAGTTCTTGGTGGGAGTGAAGCTCCCACAAGAATAGATGTTGGAAGTCTGCTATCATCTGAGAAACTTGCCCCCTCAGCTACTCTTAAAAAGGTAAAGATTGTCAAAGGCGTAGAGAACTAGAGACTGAGGTTAGCGACAATATGATTTCAAATGTGATATTATTAGTTTGTAATATGCAGGTTAGAATTCCATTACGACCAGTGGCGACAAAACTTCAAACTCTCCCTACAAATCGAGACAGGTTGCCATCGGGGAAGCAAATATTAGCTCTTACATTAACGTGGGTTTTACATCAGTTTATACACACCATTAGCTGTTTTCATTGAATTGATGTTGTTTTCTAGTAACTGTGCCTTTTTTGCTCCACAGTTACAAGTTTAAACTTGAGGATGGAGCTGAGATAAAGCCTTATATCCCTTTGCTCAATAATCGCGTATACGATACAAAATTTGAGTCTCAATTTTATATGATCTCAGATGCGAACAAGGTCAGAATTCTAGTTGTGTTTCTATTTGCTATGTTTTTATCTTTTCTCTTTACTAGAAATCACCTCTCTCTCTCTTTTTTTTTTTTTTTTTTTTTTTTTTTTTGGTTCCTGATATAAATGTAAGTGTTACTAACATAAAAACCTTGGTTTTTGTACTGTATTATTTTACTACTTGAAGCTATGATCATTTACAAAGTGTATTTTTATATCAATGCTCATTGGCTTTGCTTCAAATATCTGGAAATTTGTCTTGTTAACCCAACATTTACTCCCCTTTCGTGTGGTCTTTATGTGTCTAGCGTATTTATGCTTGGGGTGATGTCTATCCAGAAGCTGCAAGTGTGCCAAAGGGTGAATTGACCTTGCAGTTATTCTTAAGGTAACGAGTTAGTGTCCATTTTTGGGCTGCAATTATTATTTGTAATTTTTGGTCATAAACTTTTGTCTTTTGAGCTGAAATCATTTGACATTATAATATCTGCAGTGTGTATTTGTTGCTCATGTCGTTTTTGTTCTTGCTCAGGCATGACAACGTACAACTATTGGAGAAAATGAAGACTCTGGTCATTTTTATCGAGAGGACTTTGGAGAGCAAGGTAACATTGTTTTTCTGTCTCTTCCTTTTGGAGCCCTTTTTCTAGTCATTCTAGCATCAATAGCTGCACTATGTGGTGCTTGCCATCTTAAAGAGTTCTTATGTCTGAGATGCTTGCTTCTGGTTTTTATTTTGATTCAGGAAGTCATCCAATTAAGCTTTTATTCTCAACCTGATGGCCATGTTACTGGAAATGATAAATTTCAGTCTTCAATCTTGGTTCCAGGGTATGCTTTCTCATTTGAGATGTTAATTTCCCAGTAACCCCTTTAGGTTCCTTTATCGTTTTTGGTAATGTGTTTGCAGATCAGAAGAAGCTTTTTATGTTGGTCCTCCATCCAAGGACAAACTTCCGAAGGTATTCTTAAAGTTGTGACTTTGTAGCTTGTACCGTTATAATGTAATGGATTTTCTCATAGCTCAATTGTTGCAGAATTGTCCTGAGGGATCATTGCTGGTTGGGGCAATATCGTATGGAAGAGTATCTTCTTCCAAGGCGAAAAATGGAGGAGACCCTGAAAAGAATCCTGTTCCTTATCAGATATGCTATGTGGTCCCTCCCAATAAGGTTTGTTAACTATGCTTATATATTTTAAATTATGAAGTTTTTTTGTATGTATTTTATTTATGTGGTGTAATACCGAATAAATTCTCATATTAAGTCTAACTTCGTCTCTAAACTTTACTGTACTTGCCTGCTCTGACAGACTGGTGAAGATAAAGGCTCAGATCTTTCTATATCAACTAACAAGAAAGTTGCTGAGCGGATTGAAGAAGAGGTATCTATGTAAAATAATTCTGTCCATACATGATACCCACTGGTACTTTTAAAACTATTGCTTACTTCAACTTTCAACTTATTAGGTTAGAGATGCGAAGATAAAAGTTTTAACAAGCCTGAAACTGCATAGTGCTGAAGAACGTGTGGAATGGAAAAAATTGTCCATGTCATTGAAGGTAAAATCTATTGATTGCTGTCTATGTAGATATGTGTTTAGGGCTATTGGGAGCTTTCTCATAATGATGCTTCTCAAAGGTGTGATTGTCTTGGTCTTTGTTAATATAAGATGTTATATGGTGTCTGTTGTTTGGCAGTCTGAATATCCGAAGTACACTCCATTACTTGCTAAGATCTTGGAGGGTATCCTTTCTCAAGATAACATTGAGGACAAATGTTGCCATTTGGAAGAGGTAAACTTTTTTGTTGGACTTGGCTTTTGTTTTGAATGCTCATTTTTCCATGCAACGTTTTTATTAAACTGTGTCATAAGTACTCTTTTCATCCCTTAATAAGGCCCATGTTGTTGGTCAATTTTAAGGAATTGAAATATATACCATGATTTTACATCTGTCGTCTTTATGTTATTTTTTTTTGGAACTTCTACGTTATCATTAAAAATATACCCTCCGTATAAGAATATTTAAATTTTAAGTTGCTAAATTAAAAAAAAAAAAAAAAAAAATCTATTATTTGCAGAAAGCTCTTGCTTTGGTTGTGGGTGTTTTGGAAAAGGTTTCTCTATCAATCTAGAGTAGTTGAGGAACTGTTTGTGCTCATTTGAACAACCTAAAGTGCTGCCTAAATGCATTATAGGGATTTGATTATACTCCTACATTGATAGTGTACTTCCATCTTTTGATTTTTTTTCCCCCTTTTTCGCTGTTATTGTTTGGTTTTAAAGTAAAGTTAGTAAACCACTCATTAATTGTGATACTTAATACTTCCTCCGTTCCCCTTATATTGCAACAATTACCATTTTAGAAAATTTCACCAATATTGCAACATTACCATATTTGCACATGCTCTCTCTCTCTCTCTCTCTCCTCATCACATGGGTCCTTGTCTTTAATTTCTATATATCTCTCCTCATCTTAAACTCCGTGTCTTGCCCCCTTGTTGCAATATTAGGGGAACAGAGGAAGTATTTGGGAAAATTTATCATATACAATCACTATGGACTGGACGGGGTATCCATTAGTTCATGTAAGATGGGATGCTGAGTGGGGGTACTAAGAGGAGAGAAAAATACTATCAGGGTATAACAGTTGGAGCCCCTCCCCCCAGTGGTTTTTCATTTTCTATGAAAAGAGTGATGATTTGGTGATAACATGATATAAAATAATGATACAAGTATTGGTGGATGATATAAAGTTACATAAGAGAATACAATTTATTGCCCCATTCCTTTATTGGGAAGGATAAGCATAGGGGAAGGGGGAGATTGTCTATAGTGTATTCTCTTAGCGGAAACTGAACATGTATATTTGAAATATTAAAAGGTTTCTGCTATTAAATATTGGCTCTTATATATTGCTTGACCATCTTTGTGCTGCTATTGTAGGTTATTAAAGCAGCTGATGAGGTTATTGATAGCATTGACAGAGACGAGCTGGCAAAATATCTTTCACAGAAAATTGTTCCTGAAGATGAAGAAGAAGAGGTATGCTGTGTTGAAATTGTCAATTGTAAATATGAAAGCATAGTATAAAAGTTAAAGAATATTGTGAATTTGTGATGTTGTAGCCAATGGATTTTCATGGGACTTTGTCCCTAAAAACATTGTATTTCATTATTGGGATCACCCACACAACCTATTAGTTTTCTTTGTAGTTGGTTGTCCCCCAGTTCCTATCATTTCTATTGTTGAAGCACTTGCATGCATTTCTAATGCTTTGGTTCTGACTTATATGCTACCTCATTCCTTTCTACTTGGTGCTTTTATATTGGTTCTATGCATTTTGGTTACCCCCCATCATGTGAAGTGTTGGTAATATGTTGTTATATGTTGCAGAAAACCAAGAAGCAAATGGAGACAACACGAGACCAGTTAGCTGAGGCACTTTACCAGAAAGGATTAGCTTTATCTGAAATTGAATCATTGAAGGTCAAATATTTCTCCATTTTGTTTCTTCAAATGTGCTTTAAATGCCTTCATAAGCATATAACAAAATTTCTTTATTAAATTCAATTTCATAGTTTGTAATTGACCGCAATTTTGTTGGTTATCAAAATTCAAATTTCCTTATGTAATAGCTATATAATCTAGAGGGTGCTTATCTGAGCTTGCAGGCGGAAAGAAAAGCAGAGGATTTAGCTAGTGATCAAGTCGGAGCTCCTCCAGAATCCCATCAAAATTCATTTGAAGCAACATACAAGGAGTTAAGAAAATGGGCTGATGTGAAGTCATCTAAATATGGAACTCTCTCAGTGATTCGAGAAAGGCGTTCCAAAAGGCTGGGAACAGCTCTGAAGGTTTGATTTTTAATATTGCTAATTCTTGATCATAGATATGCTTAATATCCATTCTCGTTGGTTGTGTATGTGTCTGTTTTGACCTGGACTGAAACAGACCTAATCTTAACCCAATTATCACAAAATTAATTGGACTTAGGTCCTGTTGCCCTCACCTTTTTTTCACATATTTCAGGAAAAATAAGTTTTGATCATAAGTTTAGTGCTAGCCCAGATAAATAAAGTTTAGGGATATTGAGTTAAATTTGTAGCTATTAAGGGTAATAGTTACCCAAGTTCAAATCACTAAGTAAATTTCAATTAGTTCAAATAAGTTAATTTCAGAGCTAATTGGTTCATATGAATAATATGTTCAAATAAATAAAATGTAGGTGAAGAGAACACACCTTAATAAGGATTGGTTTTGCAATAATCTGAACTGAACTATGATTGAACCATTATTAGATGTGGACCAAATTGATCTTCTGTTGATCATAAGAACTTGTCTTCCATGTCTTCACACTGAACTATTTCTAATCGTCAAATTCTAACACTCCAACAACTCATAGGCTCAATTGGACTGAAAGGTCAAGACCCTAATATCTCATCAACTAATTCAGAGTAAAACATTTTGAGGATACTGGATCACCTCATTTGAGACTGCAGTCGGATACAACTCATACAAGTTTTCTTTTTTGTCCCTTTAAGATAGATTTTCCGCTTCAATGCTCAAATAGTCTTAGGAAACTACTCAACTAGCATGATGACCTCACATTTCTAAAGAGGGGTCATTGAACAGGACAGACTGCAGCGATTCTTTTGGACATTTCTAGAGTCTAGAGAGTAGAGACTATAACAATTTTCTTGAATAAGTGGTTGCGCACAACTTCCAGGTAGGACAACAGCTACAGCTGACATTCTTTTGTGTGGCAGGCCTGGCTAGGACATGGTTTTGTAGGATCCACGTAACAGGGTGTAATATCCCAACCTGCCTTGAGACATCCTAACCTGTTATTACATTAAAACAATCTCTGATATATAGAACTGTAACACCCTCAAAATTATTTAATTGTAAATTGAAATCCAAAAGAGTATCAAAGAACTTTTATTATTAGAATACTATTACTCCTTATTTGAAATAAACACACCAATGGTAACCCAGTAAACCTGTTAACCTGATAACCTACTAGTCACAATTTAATCAAAGCAATACTACAGTTTCTAATCCTAAGGAACTGGCTTTTATTTTCTAATGACTAATAAAATTCCTAATAACTACAGCTAAGCACAAGTAGTATAATTTCAAGAATCATTTTCTCCCTTGCTACTCTGAGCTTTATCTTCGTCCTCCCAAGTTATAATCATAATGTTGTTTTGCTCATCATTGCTCTCTCTCAAAGTGTTTTAAAGTAGGAATCCATTTTTCCTTGTAATGTAGTACTTGTTATTTGGTTCTCCATTAATGTATAGGTCACTATACTTCTTCTTTAGCTCCGCAAATGGTCCTCTCCCATGTAGAGTACATAAAAGGATTTGTGATCGCCTCTCTGGAGTTTACTCCTAGTTACCCTCATCTTTGAAAAAATCTAAAATACATCTATTCTTGGCAAGACATGGGCTTACTTGATCATGCAAATATTTAATCACCTTCAAACAGAAACCTTATCCATTTCTTTTTTTACTCTACAAACCCTTAGAGCCCCAGATCAGTAGGTCCCTTCTTGTGACTCCAAATTGATGGATTAATATTGAATATAGACCCTCATGGATTATGATCACATATGTCACCACCAAAGCTAAGCATCAGCTAAAGAGAAAGAGCATAAATATATGAAATTTGGCAGTCACTGAGATGGGAGTTTGAAAATCTCGATTGGAAACTTTCAGAAGGATAGTCAAATTATTTGGTGCAGGTGCAGATGCCCGCTGGAAAGGCTTCTGCTCATTAACAGTAGCCACCTCTAAAGTATGGGGTTTTTGGAGAGACAGTTTGTCCTCTCTGGTTAACAATGCTATGGTTTTAATAAAAATGATAATGTGCTTGAAAAAATACAATTTTATTGAAATTATTATTCCAATATTTAATATACTTGAGGTTGTCATTGTGGTGCATCAGGTGTTGAATGACATCATCAATGAAAATGGGCAACCTCCGAAGAAGAAATTGTATGATCTTAAGCTCTCCTTGATTGAAGAGATTGGATGGGAACACATAGCTTCATATGAGCGACAGTGGATGCATGTCCGTTTCCCATCGAGGTTGCCTCTCTTCTAAGGTTGTTTAAAATCGGGCAACTTGTTGCTCTCTCTTTACCAATTACAACGATCCACTATCGCCATAATTAATACACTTGTGAAGCAATTATAGTTCACAAATGCTTCACAAGTGTAGGTTTAGGGTTTGTGGAGTAAGGAGTCTGGTTGCTATTGTACTCTTCAAGTAGTTCTTTCAAGGGGATTTTTAGGGGGTTTGGGGGCTGAATTTCTATATAATAAGAATTTGAATTTGTAATAAAAGTTATATTCCTTTAAGTAATCATGCTTATTGAATCTTTGTTGTGGTTTAGGCGGCTCATTTTTTTGTTGTTGCTCCTAATATAGAGATCAGACTCTTTTGCGCTGCATCTTTCAGTCTGAAACGATCCACTCGGAAAACCTTCAGAATTCCTCAAAGGAAGCATGCCTCAGTTGCTGCAAGCCAGCACCATTTTGAATTTAAATTTCATTTGCACATGGTATTTATACAACGTAGAGCAAATGTTCCTGTGATATGTGGGCTATATGGCACACTTTTTCTACGATGTCAAGGAAACCCTTATTCAAGAGTATGAAATCGGTTAGCACGCTAACAGAGACAACAATTTGTCTCCTGTTTGGTAAAAAATTAAGGTATGAATCCGTAACCTTAACGGGACTTGTGAACTCCCATGTCATACTCATTGACGATATATATGATGTTATCGATAGGATGTTATCGATCATCGCTACATAAGAAATTAAGACAACAATTCCTGAGAATTACTCGTAGTAAGTTTGTTGCATGCAATATGTTTGGGCTAGTGTGAAATTTTTTGGGCAAATCTAAGCTCTAAATGACCATATATAAATTGAGCACTTCATTGGCAATGTATTGATCGAGTGTACAAGCACCTGAGACTACTCAATTCTCTAAACTTAACTAGATTTCCCAGATTTGCTAATTATATTCCTATTATAATTTTTTGCATTATATATATGTTGTACAACACTTTCTTATGTGAGCTATTTCTATTGAAGTTGAATACATAATTATAGAGGTTTTACAATAAGAGGCACCCCAGAACTAGGTCTAAACGAGAAAAAATAAGTAGGGCTATGATGATATGATGGTGCAACTGTAAAGGAAAATCGACGAAGAATCAAGGACATAACGATCTTGTACTCCATAAGTGCATAGTTCTTGCCAATGCACATCCTTCCTCCAAATCCAAAGGGCATGTAACCCATCTTGTGCTTGCATCCGCCATACAACGAGTCTCCATCAAATCTCTCCGGTTTAAACTCGTTAACATCGTCTCCCCAAAGAGCTCGGTCGTGGTGCATTCCAACGACGTCAATCCATATGTTGGTGCCATTAGGGATTACTACATTGCCTACTTGAATGTCACTTCTTGCTTGTCTTTGTGCATTTGGTGACGAGGGGTATAATCGTAATACTTCATTAAACACCCATCCCATCTGAAATATACCACAAATTTAATTAGAATTGACATATACAAGTAATATCTAAAGGAAAAAAAAAAAAAAAAAAAAAAAGTAACAATTATCTCAACTATTTTACTGTTGGACATCCGGACGGTTATGACATTGCGGCTCTAAATGACAAAACAATTATGATGATATAAAATTCACTTTAGGTGGTGGTCAAATGTTTGATTCTTTTGACCATTATGGTTTCTCATTGACAATTTTTTCCCCTCCTCTTATCTCATCCTTTTTTTTCCCTTTTTTGGAAACATATTTTGTTTTCAATTTATAACAGTAATATATCCTTTTTAAGAAAAAAAAAAATGGTTGTATGACTTACATCCCCATATGAAACAAGCAAAAATATAACAAGTGTGCTCGGGTTCAACTCATTCAAAATAGAGATTTTGTCTTACAAATATATCGTAGATCTTTTTATACTTTAAATAATTTCAATATTTTAGTACTTTTTTATTGGAACAATAGAAGTAAATGAGATTATAATCATATGCTCTAATGCCATTTGATAGTAAATTTTAATTTTGTCATTTGGTTGGTTAAGGACCAACACCAAGTAGCACAAAATTATAATCACATGTACGTATGTGCTCTATATTAGGAACTCTAAGAACAAGACTTTTCAATTGGAGGATTAAAACAAGAAAAATGAGAAAACAATTGAGAAAATAAGGTATGGTGCATTTTTTTTATTGTTTAAACATAAAGTATATAAGAACATGTATAAATATGAATGCATTGATAATGTTAGATAGTATTTAGCATACGAAAAACATAATCATGTGTTATAGTGTCAAATCTCTTACCTTCTTGAGTCCAGCAAGCATGGTGAAGTCAATGTTATCATTCTCTCCAATCACTTCTTTGATTTCCTCTCTTAATTCATCTTGCCATTTTGGATACATTGCTAATAGCATCAATGTCCACGTCATTGCTAATGCAACTGTCTCATGCCCTCCAAAGAAGAACGTTTTACACTCGTCGATTAGTTCCCTAGTTGTCAATTTCCTCACAAATCGCCCATCAACTTGATCCTCTCCCTCGAGTAATAACCCTAGTAGATCATGTTGAGGTTCTACACCAATAACCTTTTTTCTTGCATTTATAATGGATAAAAGAATGTCATCGATCTCTTGCCCTAGCCTCCTAGCCTCTAAGGTTTGTCCCATGGTCAACAACTGGCCATAAGGGACTCCAACATAACGCGTGTGTTTAAACAAACTAATCTGCATCGCTCTTAATTTTTCAAGCAACACATTTCCCAATCCACTACTAATTCCAAAATTAGTTTTGGCAATTATCTCTCCGGCCAATATTGTGACTTCTTTCTCCATGTCAAGCTCAACTTTGCTCGAGTCAGCAAGAAGAGTGGTCCATTGACTTATCATCTTGGTTGTCAATTCCACCATTGAATTTGCCATTCCCTACATTTATAAAGACACAAAATTTATTAATCACTCCATATAAAACATACGCGATCCTATAATAACTTTACTTTATATTTTTTTCAAAAATTACCCAAAAGACGATAAAACTTTACATACCTTCAAGTTGGTGGAAGAAAAAGCCGGAGTAATAATATGTCTATGACGAACCCAAGTGTTACCCTCAATCATATTAAGACCATATTCCCCAAACATAGGAATTCTATCACTTTTGAAAACAGTAGGTTTTCCCCAATTCTTGGCTAATACTTTTCCTGACATTTGCTTCAAGAACTCAGGGTCTGCTACGTATAAAAATGGTTCAACTCCCATCCAATAAACATACACTTTACCTGCAAATCAACCATATATATTAATCTTTAATTAGTATATAAATCATTATAATTAGCACTTTATCACTTGCATGTTTGATGCTCTTTTATGCCAATCATCAATATTATATTATTTATCTATAAATGATTAGTTTAATCTTGATTAGGACATCTACATGCAAAATTATTCGGATTGGAGTAATTTAATAATATATACTTCGTATACAATAAAGGTACTCTTTGGATTTTGCATGGTGTCGAACTTATAAGTATCTTTTTTTATATCGTAAAATCAAAAACTTAAAATGATACTCCCAAAAAAAAATGGTAGACAAAATTAATACAAGAGATTTATATATTATTTTTTTCTAGTACCCTTTTATACACTAAACAACATTTGAAATTAAGAATAGCTTTACCATTGTTATACTTAATTGTATTTACTTTTTTTTTTTTCTTTAGGGCTATTCATTTAGAACTGATTTAGAATGACCGAATATAATTTTTTTTCTCAAATAATCTATTCACTTTTAATGAGAGATTTTTAGTCAAACTGTTGCAACTAAAAGTGAACGAGGAAACTATTATGCATGATTGACCCATTTGCTATAATAATACCCATGACACCAGTAGTGAACCCAAAGAAAATGATATGCTTACCGTATAATTTTTGCCATTGAGAGAAATATGGAAGAGAAGATGAATGGATGTCATGGGATATAGTATCCGATGACGAAGATAAAGATTTAGCTTTGATGATCATCTCCTTCATATCACCTAAGTTGCCCAGAGGAAACTTAGGTGTTGGTCCTCCCAACCCATTCTTTCGCAGCTTTCGCAGCGAAAGAATGGGTGAAAGAAAACAAGCATTAATCAATTTCCACAACAAGAAGAAGATTAAAAATCCGCATATAAGATTAAGACTCATTTTCGCTTTTTTTTTTTTTTTTTTTTTCTTCCTCTGGTTTTTAAGTTTCTCTCTCTAGAGTTGTGAAAATATATATGGTGAGTATGACGAAGTAGGGGAAAGAGGTATTTATAGAAGTGTAGAAAAGAAAAGGACAAAAAGAAATAATAAAATAAAAGAAAATAATTAAATAAAGGAAAAAGAAAAGTTAAAGATGATTATAGCACTATTTTAATTAGTTTGACCTTATGAAATGTCATAGTTGAAACTCGTCCTTTGACTTGAAATAAAGTTGAATAGAATTATTATTCATTTTTTAGAATATAATAATAAAGGTAATGAGAACCGCGGTTGCTAATAGCAATAATTTCATGGTATGAAGAATTAAATAGTAAGATTAATAAAAATGATAATAATAATATTTTCGTAGTTGTAATGAGAATGAGGGCTTTCATTTTACCATTTCATGTTCAAATCGTGTTGGCCTTGACGTTCTTCGTTCCATAGTTTGTATGTTCTAATTATGCATGGGACTATGGTAAACTCCACAAAATAATGTTTTTTTTATTTACTATGTATCTCCTACTTATAATAATTTTTTTATTTATAGATTAATACTATTCACACATTTTACATTAATTATTATTTAAGGATTATATAAAAGATAATTATAATTCATAGATGGTTAGAGGTCATCCTTAACCAAGTTCCTAAACATCCACCTAGCCAGTTCAAACACAATTAAGAGTGTTAGACTACCGTCGCTTATTACCAATTGTTTCACTTGTTGGTAAATAGCGACGATAAGTTAAAGATGTTGATTATACCAATTGTTTCACTTGTTGGTAGGGGTGGGACTTCGGTCTGGCAGTTCGGTTTGACCTCAGTTTGAAACGGTTTCGGTTTGAAACGGTTTGGGTTAAAACGGTTTCATTTAGACGGCGGGTCGGTTCAATTCGGTTTTGATTAGTCACAGGTCGGTTCGGTTTCGGTTTATTTTTGTACGATTTAAATTCGGTTCGGGTCATAAACGGTTCGGTTTATAAACAGTTCGGGTCATAATCAGATCGGTTAGAAATGGGTCGCTTCAGGGGCGGATTTACTCGGGTCAATGCCGGTTCGGTTTTTAAACGGTTCGGTTAATAATCGGGTCGGTTTGAAACAGGTCGGTTCAGGGGCGGGTTTACCCGGGTCAATGCCCGTTCGGTTTATAAACGGTTCGGGTCATGATCTGACCGGTTTGAAACGGATCGGTTCAGGGGCGGTTTTACCGGGTCAACGTCGGTCCGGGTTCATATCGGTTCGGGTCATGAACGGATTATTTTGAAATGGGTCGGTTCAGGGGCGGGTTTACCCGGGTTAATGCTAGTTCGATTCATATCGGTTCGGTTTATACTCGGTTTGGTGCTAAAATCGTTCGGGTTAGTTTGGTAATCAGTTAAATAGGATCGGGTTGAAATCGAGTTCTAAAAAGTGGTTTTGACCAGTTAGCGCGTTTTGTTTTATATCAAGTTGGGACTAGTATTTCCATTTCATTAGCGGGTCGGCATAGGTTGGTGAAAAAAATAATGGATCGAGTAGAAATTGAGTTTTAAGAGATTTTTGACCGGTTAGCTATTTTCGTTTTATATAAAGTTGGGACTTCGTCACTTTATTTTCAGACATCGGATTATATACAATTACACAAATCTTCATTTATTCAATTATTCTATATCATGTTAATATGTTATGTTTCAAGTTTGGTTATACTCTTGTTGTTGTTTATTCGATATTATCATATTAGTCTATTACAAATTTATAATGTATTAATGTATTATTGTTTCATTATTAAATATATATTATTAGGTTATCAGCTTCTTGTTGGATTGTTTTAGATATCGTGTCATGACCATGTTTTGATGAATTGCTACTTTGAATACGATAAATCGATTCAGATATCAGATTATATAGAATTACATAAATTCTCATTCATTCTATATCATGTTAATGTTTATGTTTCAAATTTGGTTATAGTCTTGTTGTTGTTTATTAAATATTAGTCTATTACAAATTTATAAGGTATTAATGTATTATTGTTTCATTATCAAATATTATCAGGCTATCAGCTTCTTGTTTTAATTGTTTTAAAGATCGCGTCATAACCATGATTTGATGAATTGGTACTTTGAATACGATAAATCGATAATTGATATTGTAATAAACTAATAATTTAATGTTACGGAACTATATTTGGATGTTTAATTAAAATCACGATTATTCAATTTCCCATTAGTCTAATAAAGTAATAATTGACAATTGTTTGTAACTATTCCATAATTTTGGTGTTAAAGTTATATTGCTGAATTACTTTGTTGTCTTACCCTCTCTAATCACCTTTTAAGATTACGTGCCTACAAGGCTGCAACATATATATGTTGCAACTTGCAAGTTAAAGAAAACGGGTGGAGAAGTAGAAGTATTCAATTAGATCGATCATCAACTGTTTTAAGTTTTAATAATCAGATACATTTATCGATTATCTATACATACCAATGATAGTATGATACCAATCGTACCATACATTATTATTTATTACATATACTGATATACATATAACTAATATACATTAAATATGTCATATTGAATCAATTTCAATTTCCAAACATTTGTGTTTCTTACAATTTATAAGTTACATAAAGTTAAGAGTACAGTAGTGTTTTTATTAGTATGTAGCTATGAATAAAAAAAACATACTATCCAAATCCATTATCCCATGATCCGTGTCACCGTCTTATATTAAATATCAGCCATTGATTTGCATGTCATCTAACGGCCTATCATCGCACACATTCCAATTCACGATCCGTATGTTTTCTTTTCCACCAATCAGATCACTCTTACCATCGTCTCTTTAGTACTCTTTTTGATTTCTCTCTTGTTTTCTTAATCCTCTTATGTAATATTATCAATTTTTTGAAGCCATGGCTGCTAATATGCTCACTGCTCTCTCGTTTTCTCTCTCATCTCCTCTTCCTTCTTCCTTTCTTCTTCTTCCTTCTTCTCCCTTCTTCCGTCTATGTTCTCCTTTCTTCCATCTCGTTTCTCCGTCTCCGTCCACCGGCACCACGCACGACGGTTTTTATGGTCAAATTCGACCACGAAACTCTTGATCTAGTTGTTTCATGATCGAATTTGGCCTTTTAAAACCAAATTCGAGGCCAAATTCAGGATTAATATATAAGGTGTTTTCGTTCTTCCTTTTTTTATTTTCTGTTTTTCTTTTTAATTTTTTTTCAAGTTGTGGGCAACGGAGGGGGTCGAGTTAGGGTGGGTGCGGCGGCGGTTAGACTGGGTTCGGGTGGGTGGGGAGGGAGGATTTTTCGAGGGAGGGAGGGAGTTTTATGGTGGGTGAGCAATTAGAGTGAGTTGGGGGGTTTCGAGGATGTTGGGTTTCGTGGGGGTGGGTGGGGTGGGGTTACGGTGGGTTTGGGTTTTTTTCGATTTTTTTGTATGGGGTGGGGTGGGGTGTGTTACGGTGACGGTGGTGGGTGTGGTTGGGTTGGGTCTGGTTTTTTTTTTTTTTTTTTTTTTTACAGTGACGGTGGTGGGTGGGGTGGGGTGGGGTTTGTTAAGGGGGTGGGGTGGGGTACGTTACGGTGATGGTGGTAGGTGGGGTGGGGTATGGGTCTGGGTTTTTATTATTTACGGTGACGGTGGTGGATGGGGTGGGGTAAGGTTTGGGTCTGGGTTTTTTTATTTACGGTGGGTGGTGGGGTGGGTGGGTTACGGTAATTATGGTGGGTGCGGGGGTGGTGTTAGGGTGGGTCTGAGTTGACGTTGGTGGGGTGGGGGTGGGTTACGGTAACGGTGGTGGGTGGGGGTAGTGTTAGGGTGGGTCTGGGGTGACGGCGGGGGTGGTGTTAGGGTGGGTTACAGTGGTGGGTGGGTGGCCAAATTTTTTCATTTTTTTATTTAATTTATAACTCCTAATTTAGTTATACAAGAATATAATTTTAAATTTATAATAACAAAAAAATTTAATTTAAATCAATAATTATATGTAAAAAAAATTGTACTGTTAAATTACATTAAACTTCAAATATATTTCGTGGAATTCTAACAAATTGTTAAAGGCTGTAAATAGTTCAATTTGAATGGAACGGGTTGTAAACGGTTCGGTTTAAATAGTTTGTAATCGGATCGGTTTAAACGGGCTGCGGTTTGAAAATAGTTCGGTTTAAACGGTTTAATGGGTTATAACAGTTCGGTTTAAACGGTTAGCGGGTTGTAAATGGTTCGATTTAAACGGTTTTTTCCTACGGTTTAAACGGTTTCGGTTTATAAACGGTTCGGTTAAAACAGTTAGCGGGTTAACATTAATCGGTTCAAACGGTTTCGGTTTATAAACGGTTTGGTTTGTTATTGGTTTACGGTTCGTAACGGGTTAACATTAATTGGTTTGGTTCGGTTTCGGTTTGACATTATACGGTTCAGTTCGGTTTTCGGTTTAAAATTAGCGGGTTATAAACGGTTCGGTCCGTGATGGTTCGGTTCGGTAACGGACGGTTTCACGGTTCGGTTTGAAAACTCCCACCCCTACTTGTTGGTAAATAGCGACGATTGTTAAAGATGTTGATTAGCAACACGCGACTTTAAATTAATATTGGCTTTATGTGATCGTTTGTTTAAATTTTAACCGACGACTTTTTTTCCAATGAATCTCAAATAATTACATAACAACTATCCTTTAGCGATGGCTAGATATTCGTAATTTATTTGGTAATCACAAACCATATCAATTTTTTGCCAATTACTTAAAGTAGTTAATAAAAACGCGCTTTTATGTTGTGCAGTCGGTTGTAGCCTTTTTAGATTTGTTCAGTGTGTATTTTTAAAATATTAACTTTTATAATTTTTCAAGTTTAGACTTATTAATACTCAATCTTATGTATTATTACTCAATGTTATATTTCGTATATGCATTACTCTTAACAAATATGAATTACGGAGTAGTATAATTTTCGTAGATGAAACTATATTTATCAATTATCATATTACTACCAATAGATAGCTTTAAACAAGTTGAGGTCGATAATAGAAACTTATACGCTCCTTGTTTTCAAGAGCTGTTAAATTGACAGACATGTATGTAAATACATGTGAAATTTGATTTTCCGAGGAAATGGATGCATATTGACTTGTTTGGTTAGCAAGTTTACCACAAAAAAGAGGATTAATTCTCATTCGGCCATTCCTATTTCCTATATCCAATGAACTAATCTCCTTAGCATTTTCTACGAGAAACTTTCGTAAGTGTTGAAGATATACTTCACACAACACGTACTTGCTTGTTAGTTACGTATTATGTATGTTA